AGGCCCTGGGAAGTGGGATTCAGCGCCTACGCGAGCGAGTGAAAGAGCAGCTAATGGTGGAAGATGGATGGGAGGATCTGGAGCAATTGGAGCAGGCATAAATGAAGCAAAGTTGTTGTTTGTTAACGAGTGATGACTGACGAGGGGGCTATCAAGAGGTTATTTCTGCAATGTTGTTCTATGCTGTTTCCTGGTTGATGGATTGATTGATTGATTTGATTGCTGTGTCGCTAGAAGATACCCACATTCGTTTGCAGCTGCGAATCCACTTGATAATTGATTGAATGATTGGAATAAATGGAGATATCCTGGTAAGATTGTTCCTCCGCGCCGATGACCGGACGGGTAGCCACGTGACCGTTGCGGCTTCTAGAGGTTTCCTTCCGAATCCTCGAACTTTTTCCCCTTTTGCCTTCTCCTTCACCAAACCACTCGTAGTCTTATTTAATACGGACCTTCCCCCCTCCCCCTCTTCCACGGTACCATCCCTCTTTGCTCCTACTCTCCCATTGCCACCTGGGACTTGATTGATCTGTCTTTGCTCCAGCGTCTTTGAAGTGAGACGTTTTTTCTGTGACTGTAAGTTGCCTCTGAATTTTCTTCTACCCATTCTTGCACACTCTTCTCCTTCCCAATCCTGACCAGGTTGCCCTTCTATAATGAGGGGACCCTGTCTTGGAGAGGGCTATCCCATCGAATGATGAGAACTCATAGCTGGCACCAGTCAGACGGGGATGTTTTTACGAATTCATCTTCCATGCTGAGTAGCTTGCGGTCCGGGAAACGCTATCCGGATCCTGAAACGATGCCTTCACTCCTACTGGAACATTATCGCACTACGTTTTATGGCTACGAATAAATGCTAATATTGTGTGTGCGATGGTACAGAACAACAGCTTTTTTTGGCGAAAGAAGGAAGAAGAAGAAAGACTCGGACTCGCTAAGCAAATTGACCCACTAGCGAAGTTCAGCCCCGCAATAGAGCAGCTTTTCTTTCCATCGAGATCGTTAGACCAATTGATAATAAAATAAACTACCACCATCATGGTTCTTCACAACCCCAACAACTGGCACTGGGTGAACAAGGATGCCTCCGGCTGGGCCAAGGACTACCTTAAGGAGAACCTCTCCGTCCTCTCCGTGGAGGAGAACGGAGTCTCTGCCAAGATCTCCAACCTGCTGAGCATGGATGGCGATGTAGACGTCAGTCAGAGAAAGGGCAAGGTCATCACCTTGTTCGATGTCAAAGTACAACTCGAGTATGAAGGTTCGTAATTAAGCAATGATAGTGTTTCTCTCTGTTCAGGGCACACCACTAAGACCTTTGACAGGTAAGACTACGGACGACGAGTCCGTTAGTGGAAAGATTTCCATCCCCGAGGTTGCCCATGACACCGAGGAAGATGAGTACGTCGTATGTTCCCTTTAGCCCCTCGTATTCCCATAGCTGTCCAGCCAATTAACCCCATGGCTCTTTAGTTCGAGATTGAGAACTACTCGGATTCTCCTTCCAAGCAGGCCGTGAAGGATCTGGTTCGCTCCAAGCTCGTTCCTCAGCTCAGACAGGCTTTGGCCAAGCTTGGTCCCGCCCTCATTGCTGAACACGGCAAGGACCTTCAACACGCTCCTGGTGTCAACCCTTCCAGCGGGTTCGCTGCTCCCAAGTACCACCCCCAGACTTCCAAGAAGGAATCCTCTGCCCCTACGACCACCACCACTACTACCGCGGAGAAGGTTTCGGTCAACACTACCACCGTGACCGCTTCGGACGAGTTCCGCACTACGGCTGAGGAGCTGTACAACACTTTCACCGACCCCCAGCGCATTGCTGCTTTCACTCGCGGCCCCCCTCGCCAGTTTGAGGGCGCTCAGGTGGGCGGAAAGTTCGCCATCTTCGACGGCAACGTCACCGGCGAGTACATCAAGCTCGAGGCCCCTACCTTGATTCAGCAGAAGTGGCGTTTGGCCCAGTGGCCCGCCGGTCACTTCAGCACGCTGGAGATCAAGTTCGACCAGAACGATGTCGACGGCGTCACTCAGATGCGCGTGACCTGGACCGGCGTTCCTGTCGGCCAGGAGGATGTCACCAAGCAGAACTGGGATGTGTACTACGTCCGCAGCATCAAGCAGACTTTCGGGTATGTTCTAATCCCTTGTTTTGCCTTTTAGCCAATTGCTTCCTCACAATGGCTTGCCAGATCTTCTTATTCTTGGAGACAGTTGCTGATGGTAGTTTTTCTTCTTCTTGGTATAGGTTTGGCACTATTCTCTGAGCGCAACCGCGAAACCATGACCATATCATGATCTAAATTCAGCACTTGGGGGGTATGAGGGCGACAAAGGATCCTGTTTGCATCCACGCGTCCTGTAGAAGACGGGGGTAGCGAACTGCTTTTTGGATTCGTACAAACTGTGTTTCTGGGAACAGGCATCTTGCGCCGACTCATCCTTACCTCTCACCTGACCTGATATAAAACTCCTCCCCTCCAAGCAATTGGGGGTATGCGTCCAACGAATGCACGATAGACAGACCATGAACATATTAGTAGATGAGACAATCACGATAGGAAGAAGATATAAATCTTTGAACTTCTACACTTCTGGTACCTGTTACATATATTACCTCTATTGTTCTTGCTTGCAAGAAATGCTGCTTCAAAACCGATCTGAATTTTGATCTACCCTATTTTGTTTTCTCTAACACCCGTCTCCCAAGTCGCTAATATATCATCATAGAAGAGAATCATAAGAGAAAGACCCCTCTCTACAGAGTCTTCTCGATCATCTCAATGCCGTAATCCTCCTTGAGGGTCTTGATCAGAGGAGCACAGATGTCCATAGTCATGGGAGCAACAACACCCTAGAGTAGCAACTACCGTTAGCAAAGCAGCCTGATACGGAACAGGAAAGCTCCAAAAGACAAAGAGAATGGGAGCATACCTTCTGGTTAATAGTACCATCCAACACCAACTTAACAGCAACACCACAAGGCACACCAACAGTCTTAGCCATAGCAGAGTACCCACCGGGGACACCATACTCGCAGAGAGTGCTAGTACGAGTCTCCTTCTGGCCATCCTTGTGCTCAATCTCGAACTTGTGCTGCAGCATGACCAGATCACGCTCACCCTCCTCATACTGCATCTTCTTCTCGAGAGTAGCGCACAGAGTATCGAGCGGGTTACCACGGGGAGTGATCTGCTCGTCACTGAAGAGGCCGATCCAGCGGAGACCGGAGATGATGCGGTCGCGGTCATCGTTGTTAGCGAAGGCAGTCTTGGAGGCGATGGCCCACTCGAGGTCCTTCTCGGCGGAAGAAGTGGCGCCGAGGATCTGCTTCGTGGCCTCCTTCCAGGCAATAGGGGTGTTGAGGTACTCGCGGCCCTCGTCGGACAGGAAGCCAATGTCAACCAGAACCTTGATCATCTCAGGGAAGCCCTGGTAACGGAGGGTGCCGCGGACGACGGTCTGGGCTTCGGGGATGTTGTAGCGCTCCCGGTAGGGGCAGGAGTCGCGGTTGGGGTAGGCGACGAAGGCAAAGCCCGGGTAGATGAAGTAGGGCTTGGCCGTGGCCATCAGGTCGGGGCCGGCGACACTGAATTCTTGGCCGTCCTTGTAGAACTTGGCAGCGTTGCGGAGAGCAAGGAGGACACCGCGGCTGGACCAGCTGAACTTGTAGCCCAGAGGGTTGTTGGAGCATTCGGGGGCGGCTGGTTGAAGGGGGTTAGGATTGTGTGGATTAAGAGGTTTGAGGGGGGTGGTTGACTTACGGAGGCCACCGCAGTAGCTGAGGAAAGAGGTGATCTTGCCGCCTTCGGCGTGGACCTAAGGGGTGGGTTAGGGATGGGTTATGTGGTAGCAGTGGTATGGGTAAGTTTGGACTTACCTCGGAGATGGTCTTAACGGCGTAGAGGTGGTCAATACCCTATTTGAAAGCTGGGTTAGTTCACTATTAAGGATTATGATTTGTATAGGTAGACATACAGGGTCCAGACCGATCTCGTTCATGACGGTGATGCCGGCCTTCTTGCACTCCTCATCCAGCTCCATCATGGCGGGGGAGACGTAGGAGGTGGTGACGACGTGCTTCTTGGTGCGGATGGCGGACTTGATGACATTGGCGTGGAAGGTGTAGGGGATCAGGGAGATGGCGAGATCGACCTGCTCCAAGGCCTTGTCAAGAGCAGCATCATCGGTGACATCAAGGGAGATGGCCTTGGTGTTCTTGAAGCCCTCGCAGAGCTTCTGAGCACTCTCGAGGGTTCTGCAAGCTGTTGGGAGTATAGTGGACGATGGTCAGCTAATGTTGGGTGCTAACCGGATAGTATAAGATAAGGGGAGAAAATCAGTCAATTGAGCTGTACGTACCAACAGTGACGTTAACGTCAGCCTTGCTGAGAACCTCAACGGTGGGCTTCGTGACTATCGAGACATTGTCAGTGGAATGGAATCCATCAATGACCCTCAATGCGGGGTCCGGGGGGAAGAAGAGATGGGGGACATACCGAAGCCCGAGCCCAACAGGAGAACCTTGGAACCGGCGACAGGCATGATGACAATTGAGAAGATATCAAGGTATTAAATTGGGAAAATAGGAAGAAAACAATATCAGGAGAGGAAATGAGTTGAGTCAGTGTTGCGAGTGGTTGCTTCGATTCCCCCGCCAGTGTGAGTCACGTGGGGCTGCCCACTTGGTCGGATGCGGTATCGGAGGCTGCGATAGCGGACACTCTATTTTATCTGATTATTTTACATGATCCGTGATTCCCCGAGGTGGAGATGCTGTCCCATATAATTATGTGCGCTGCCTGCATCTATATAAGCTCATGGAAACCCTCTTTTTTTCACCTTTCAGCTCACTGCCATAAATTCTAGATGACAAATGGGGGAATATTCGTCGATGCTCCCAAGGATGACTCCAAAACTCCCAATGATTGATGCCAGACTGGTAACCCAGTCCATGTATACAATAGAGAAAAGAATTAAGGGAACACAACCATCTACAGATCTTTAACCTTGCCATTAGTTTCCTCCGCAGAGTCAGATGTTTCGCCGTCGAAGTTCCCCTCTGCATCCGGGTTCTTCTTTGACTTGGAGATTCGACGCTGCCATCTCAGCATCACGGGCAGGAACTGCCAAAGGTCAAAGTCCGGCCACAGGACATCAAGGAAGACGATCTCCGTATCCTCGTGGCATTGCCAAAGCATGAAGTCACTCAAGCGCTCAACTCCAGATGTCCGGACCAGCAGATCTAAAGGAGGATTGTCATGGGTGAATAGATGTTCTGACAACGTCTGACGCGTGATCGTCTCGGGGGACATAAAGACGAGACTCTCTTTCCCGACGGCGGGCTCCGTTGCTGGGGCTTTCCCACTGGCAGCATCTTGTTGACCGGCGAGATGGAGAGTCGACGAGGAAGAGAACGAAGATCCATTTTCATAGACTCCGTTCGGTGTCTTGTGCTTCGTCGTTTCGCCGTCTCCTGATGACTCTGATGCCGCCTCCGAGTCACTCGGTACCTCCTCTCCTTTCGAAACCTGCGCCTGTGCTCGGATGTTTTGTGTAATGTGGGATTCTGAGAAGGGCGTCCTCGAGGAGATGGACGACGGACGAGTCGACGGAAGAGGCTGGCTGTACTCAGCCACGGTATCTCGAACAGCCGTGGTAATCTCATCGCGCGATGTGTACGGGAAACAGATGTTCAATACGCAGTCACCGTTGTTACTGGTCATTTCGACGGCCCGGTTCACTGCAGCAAGAACATCCGGCCTGAGCAAGTCCAGCCGACCCAATATCCGCACCTTGGCCCCGTAGCGATCCAGAATCTCACCGTGCTGAGCCATCTGCGACAACTTCACCCTGGCCATCTCCATCAATGCATCCACCTCGAATTTGGAGCGTTTGAAGTTTTCGATGCTGAAGGCGTAGATTGTAACCACTTTGACGCCACTCTTGTAACAGACTTCGAGAATCTAAATCATCGGTATAAGTCAGCAGCTGATATTGGCGGAAGGCAAAAGTTATCCATGAACCGAACTCCATCGGACTCACCCTTGCCAAAGCCTCAAACCCCATGTTGTGTCCTTCTACGGTTTCAATCCCGTGCGTTCGGGCAAATCTCCGGTTACCATCCATGACAAAGGCAATATGTTGTGGAACTGGACCCTGACGGATTGCTCCAACCAAGAGGTCCCGGAGTTGGCCAATGGCAAACTCGATTGGCGGCGAAGCAAGGAGCCATTTCCGGAACCTCGACAAGTGTATCGATGTCGACATTTTGGCTGATTATGCGTATATTTCAAAGTATGACAAGCTTTTCCGACTCAAAAAGGGCTGAATTGTGGAAGGCTGCGAAAGATGCGGAGGACGTTTCACGATGCAAGACGGGGGGTGTCCGTGTAGTGCAGGGGCGATGCACCAGGCAGTATCTCGATATCCTGACAAGTGAGCCCAAGCAGCCGCACCCTAGCAAACTGGAGAGCAGATATGAAAGAGATGACGGCCACCAGAGGTATAGTGAGGGTAATGTAAGCTTGGGGATGTGCCCGGTAGGGCCGTGCTCATCAGGCTACACTGTTCTTTTTTTATTCGCGTTGGATCGTCTCCCGGGGGTAACGGGGATCGTCGGTTTCGGCGGACCCTCAAGGAGCGACAGAACACCGCAAAATGGTCCAAGAGGTAATTGAAGTCGCAGAAAGCGGTGACAACGAGCGAAGAGGCAAAGGAAATAGCGCAGAAGGGGGAAACGTAACCTGGATGGAAGACGGGGTGGGTCGGCCGTGACTTTGATCGGACGGTTTTCTCCACGTGTAAATACTAAATACCCAATAACAGCTCTCAACGTAACCGCGCCTTCGAGGCTCCCCAGCCTGGCCCGGCCATGCCTGAGGATGCCTTTTGCTGCCTCAACGGCCATCCTGACCTCCCGAACGGTCAGAAAGAAAAGTCATCTGAGAAGCCTTTGTAGAGAAACGGTGCTGAAACTTCACAGCGACACGCGGGGAAGATTCTCCTGGGCCACATGCAGCCACTTTGCCTTGTCAGCTGACAAGCTTCGACCAAACCGAGCAGCCGCCATCGCTTTGTGATCTTGCATGACAGCCACATTGGCAGATACCAGGAGAGAAAGCGTATTCTAATGGTTCTGGCCAGATATAAGTAACTCTGGCAGCAGGCATGGGTGGCTCTCGTCCTTATCACCGTCTGTTTGAGGACATCTCTCAGGCCAAGATTAGCTATGTACATTAGCGTCACCCATTCTCATCTTTAACTGTTACCATTTGATGCAAGGAGTCAGTCAAGCTCTCCAATATGATCGAACTTAGTATGGGGTTTCCATTGAATGTCGAGTCATTCTATGTTGCCCGATAGGGTTGTTCGCGAATAGTTGTGGCTTAGAAGTACGTTGGAAGCATAGGTCTATCTCTGGAAAGACACAAAGAGTTGGTGCAGAACTGTTAAGCTACTTAATCCAAAATATGTATCTCCGAAGATTTAGCTAGCTAGATATTCAGGTAGTAACTATATCTGACCGTGCCGATAGTGCCCATGCGTCCAACCACCGAATAGTCTTCCGCCTCTGAAAGCGCGAGAGGTCCGTGTTATCTGCCTAGGAACGCGCACTCCCTAATAACACTTTGATTCAAAAATCCATGTCCATATCCCTGAATGCTGCATGATTGTGCTTAAATATTGCTGCAAACCATCGACAGTCGAGGTCCGTGGACGTCGGCACGAGGATAGAGTATGCGGGCTTCCATCCACAGAAATGGGATTTTTATTAGCTTAATCATCCTGTTGGGTGCTACTAGTAGTTTCTAGACTGACATCCACTCTGCAATTCATCCAATCGCAATATAGGCACTATATCGCATGCGAGAACGATTGGATTTCCGAACGAGGGGTTACAGGAAGTATGCGAGTAGCGGGCGCAGTAGTCCCTAGTTAGTCCATCCATGGTTAGAATAAGATAAGGCCGGGAAGACGGAAGCCCAATCTGGCCTGATAATGATCGCAATTTGGATATTCGGATTCTCCTGTTTTCCCAATCTTCCCTGATAGATTCGGGGCCGAGATGATGGCGACTGCATGTCCGGCATGTTGAGGAAAATCCCAAGCTGGCCAGCCGTTCGAACCGAGACACCTTGATTGTTAGAAGTTGGAGAGTTGGAAAAGCTTCCCCGCCTGACGGCCGCCCCGCGGACTGCTGCGTCTCCCGCCTTCGGGCTTCACTGGCTCGCTTTCCCTTCAGGAATCCCTGGGCATCGTTGAAAACCCCTAGGAGGTCTGTTTTCTCATCGAATATTATTACCACACAAATAGAAGAAAAGATAACACTCAACTTATTTGTCGTTTACGGAAGTGGTCCGCTGCGGCTACTAGCTATCGCCTCATTTCCCGTCAGTGCCACTTTCGGGTGCTTCGCCATCAACGAACTGTGATCTTGAATACCACATCTGCCATTCTTTTGCCTGGTATCTCTCTATCAACGATCGGAAAACATTCACCAACCCTTGGAGGATCTTCATCATCTCCGTTTTGCCAAGCAGTCCTGGATCGTCTCACCTGAAACTGGACCTTGGTACTACCCATTGGTGGATTGTTTCAGCCAATGTTATCCTGTCTTCATCCTGCACTTTGAATCCATCCCTCCAGTAACTCAACCTCGAACGATATAATATCTGGATTCCACGATATTTAGCCTGCATCCCGGCACAGTCTGCACTCAGCCACACAGACCACGTTCTCTATTGTGGCTTTGACAACATGTCGATCAAGTATGTAGATGTTCCCCACCATGCCCAGTTGAGCTACTTTGATTATTGTTCTGCATGCGTCTAGTATTGATCTTTTTTTACTTCATCACTTCATCACCTCTGATTTATTACCTCTGGCATGCTGTGTCAGAAGGATTAGCTTTCTTCTCCCTTGACTCTCTTGCATCATCCCATGACACCCTTGCATGCGCACTTCTCAGTCAGAACACCTGCGATGTATACTTCTTTCAAGCCAAAATGGTGGTAGTTCGCTGAGAAATTCATGCTAATTATAATACCCAACATAACAGCTGGGTGATGCTGCAAGGCCCCGAAGGCTTTGTTCGACTACCCAATGAGCATCATTTGTTCGCCTCTCCTCCGCGGACCACTCTGTCTCTGCAACCCCTAGGCTCTACCGCCAGCAAGGATTCCTTTTCCAAGCAAAGCAATGCTGGCCGAGTCTACCTGACAAATCAGAGGGTACTGTCTTGCTTCTGGACCCTATCATCTGACAAACTCTCGTTAACATAATCATGTCAGATCGTTTACATTCCCGCGCAACAAACGAAAGAGTTTCAATCGTTTTCCGCACCATTACTTAATGTCCATGACGCCCATGTCACTGCACCCTTCTTTGGGCCCAATGCATGGATTGCTCTGGTCCAGCCGGTATCTGGAGGAGGCATCCCTGCGTCTTTGCCTGCTGTGCAGCTCAAGGTGACATTCAAAGAAGGAGGGGCGTTCGATTTTCATAACAATTTTGAAAGAATCAAGGAGCGTCTACAACAGGCTGTCGAGAATACGCAGGCGAGCAGTCGAGGTGCCCAAAATGTTGACATGTCTGCAATCCATCTCGACGAGCTACCTGCGTACACCGGCCCATCGGGTGGCACATCTGGGGCTGTCCACAGCACTGCACAGGAACCTGTGAGTTCACAGTCTCATCACACAGGGCCAGAGGCGGGTTCGGAGCCAATGGAGCCCCCACCGGATTATGAAGAGGTGCAGCAGCAAAGTGTGGTGGATGCATTCGAAGAGAGACTGCGTCTAGGCAATTAAAACCAGGGCTGGTGCGTTCTTCCATGCTTTCTTCCATGACTAGATAGTCTCCAATTTCCTTCCACACATATTCCAGCGAGAGCTTCAAGCCCAAGCGGCCTTTTTAATATTTCTCCTGTATACTACTTGAAATTCTATTATTGAAATGCAGTGCATCACAAATAGTAAAACCCATAGTTCAGAATAACAACAACGGAACGGCACGATCATTAATTAATTAATTAATTTGATAGAGTAAGAAAACGAGATATTACCGCATTAGTCACGGCCGACCCGAGCGGCCAATCACGTGTACGATAATTGCGACCATCGCCCGGCGGCCGGGGTGTTCCGATTTTCCAGGGCCGGCAGAAACCAGCAACGCCAAAGCTTCGAGTTCGTTAAAACCAACCCCATCCTCAATTACCGCGACATCCACCGCCCACACCCCCCTCTCGCCCTCTTCTCCCAATTGAAACCATTTTCAAAGACAAGATGGGTCTCTCCGACTTCTTCTCCGACGTTATGTCCTCCTTCGGCTTCCCCGAGGCCCAGGCTGAGGCTCCCGCCGAGGAGACCACCACCACCACCCCCAGCCAGGAGACCGAGGCTGAGGAGAAGCCCGCCGTGAACAACGAGGAGGAGGCCGCTCCTGCCGCTGAGGAGAGCACCGAGGAGTCTGCTGAGGAGACCCCCGCTGAGGAGGAGTCCGCCGAGGAGGAGCCCGCTGAGGAGGAGGAAGAAGAGGAGGAAGAGGAAGAGGAAGAGGAGGAGGAGGAGCCTGAGGACATCAAGCCCCAGCTTGAGGAGGGTAAGTTTACTGCCAGTCTCGTATCTCACTTGTTCAGTGCACTTTCCTTGGGGGAAAGTTCGTTCCAGACGGACAATGTGACAACATGATGGGTAGTCGGTCAGATGGATGCACGCTGACCGACCCTCACGTCATGCGATTCTGAGCCATTGACACTGAACAACTCATCCCATGGCAAACAAACTCATCAATTCGAACATTCACTAATCAATTATCTCTTTCAGAGTGCGCCAACTCTTCCCAGTGCGCCCCCTACAAGCACCACTTCGATGAGTGCGTCGAGCGCGTAACCCAGCAGCAGGAGGACCCCGACTACAAGGGCCCCAAGGAGGACTGCGTTGAGGAGTGTAAGTTCACCAGCACACCATGACATTTTCATTCTCGTCACGACACGATATCGCAATCATACAATTGATAACGAAATCGATAAACTAACACACCATTCCTATTAGTCTTCCACCTCACCCACTGCGCTACCCAGTGCGCCGCCCCCAAGCTCTGGAAGGCCCTCAAATAAACGAATCAAATCACTCTCGATCGATCGATAGATAAAGACGTTTTTTCCCTTACTTCCTCCATCCTACTCCGCGAGTCGCGTTTCCCTTTTTGCTCGACCAAGCATGATAAGCTAGAATGGATCCTCACCCGCGACGAGGGAAGACAAGAAAGGCGTATTACGATCGATCCCCTTGATTTGATTTATAATGATGGCCATGCGGGCCTGCCGTTGATGAAGATCAAAAAAGAAAGGAACATCCAGTGTTGTCTCGGCCGCTGCCCGCCCTCGACGATACGGGTTGCGAGTCGGTGATGATGCATGCTGTTGTTACTTTATCTCTATGAAAGATGGATGGCATGGAATATGGAAATGGTTAAGAAGGGGGGCGGTCGCCTTCAACTGTGTATGTACAGATAGCTGGTCTCTGCCTTGTTTGAAACTTGTGCTTCTATTATTATTTTTTATTTCCTTTTGTTTTTAGATGAATGTCATTTTGTCCTAGACTCTGCTCGGTATTTTCTTTTTGTCTCGGGCATCATATGATCTTTATTTACACATCACAGGTTAGGTACAACAGGGGTCCTGCTATAGACAAACTCGATGGACATGGTTTCCAATACCCCGGGTATCACATTCCTGTACACACTGACTTCACATATCTCCAGATCTCTTCCTCCACGCCACGCTCAACCCAAAGAATCCTTTCTTGTCATCCTCTCCAGCTCCAGCTCTACGTTCCTCATCGCCCTGTTCCTCACCCGCCTCCTCCTGGCCCAGCTCCACGCCTCGATCAACATCCAATCTCCGTCTCCTTACATCGCGTCCAAAACAGCCAATACACAACGGCCACGGCGCCGCGACAGCCGCCACAACAGCAGAGAAAATCAACGCGTTCTGCATATTGGCCGGCGGGTTAGCGTCCTCTCCGGCCTTCAATGCATCCTGAACTAGAATGAATATGGCGCCCAGCAACTGCCCACCCGTCCAGCAGATAGTGCTTCCAATCTCCGGGGAGAAGGGATACGTGATTTCGACCAGGTACTCCAGAACGACAGGAAGGAGGGCGAAGGAGGAAGCTCCGAGGAGGGAGCACACGACATACGATGGTGCGATGCCGGCGGAGCTGGGCGGGGCAAATATCAGGGCAATGTAGGTGATTGCTACGATAGGGACAAGTGTGCGGATGGTGGCGAGGTAGTGCTTATAGCGGTCTGTGAGGGGAGAGATGATGGCTGAGGCTATGAGCCCAACAATGATCAGAAGGCCTCCTGCAATGCCGGCTTCGGTTTCGGTGTATGAGTAGGGTTCGAGGATTTGGTTGAGCAGCGAGGAGATGCTGTTAAAGAAGCCAACGTATATGGAGAAAGGGATCAAGATCAGGTAGAACTCGAGGGTTCTGAGGAGTTGGGTTATGGCCGGGAGGAGAGGTGCGGAGGCGTTGGTGCTCGCAGATGAAGCGCTTGGAGGCGTTGGGGGCTTGGAGGGAATGAAAAATGAAGGGAGTGCTGCTATCGTTGCCTTTTGGGTTGTTAGTTGGTGAGTGGGACAGGTTGTGGCCGGCTTGGCTTTAGTCTATCTATGTGTGGAGGGATCTGAGGAAGGCTTACGATGACAGAGATATACAGAACCATGTTCGGGACTTCGCTTGGCTTGGTCGCCCAGAAAGAGTCGATCAGCTCTCCCAATGCTGCACCCAACGGATTGGCAAGGGTGGCTACGGCCGTTGCGCTGGTCCGGCCCTGGTCAGAGAACCAGAGGTCGCTGTATCGCGTCGGAGCGCTCAAACAGAATGGCTGCGCCAGTCCGATGAGGATCTGTCCGAACATGGCAACACCGAAGATGCCTCCTTTCGCTTTGGTTCCTGCATATCGAATCCAGTTGCCGACGAGGAGGAGGGTTGAGGTGGTGATGATGGCGGGCTTAGGGCCACCTTTATTGAGAGTGAAGATCACTACGCTGAGAGCAAGAATGAGCGTGAATTCCAGTCGCTTCCAAGCACCGCAGACAATTGGAAATATTCAGGGCTAAACTCACGGGCTGGCGACACAAAAAGCGAAGAGGTAACCGGTGCTCATCCAATTGATGGCGCTCTCAGAAACGCGGAAATGCTCAGCCGCAGTAGTCGATATCGAGGAAAATGTTAACCACTAGACGACGGCGGGTATCAGAAGAGTGCACATTCTTAGAGGCGGCAGAGAGAGAACCTACATCCCAACTAACAACAATGTTCAACAGCACCAACTGGGCCAATCCCCAGAACCGCCGCTTGTAGACCTTGTAGACAGGGCCCGACGGAGGCAGCTCTGCTGGCGCTGCAGTGGCAGAGCCATGGTGCATACCTGCTGAATCCTGGGGTGCTCTGGAGTCCATGAGAGACAACAAGCAGCCGGTGGGTTGCGTGACCAGCTGGCGAGGAGCGGAGCATTAAATGAGGGGAAAGGTAATTAAATCAATTTCACCGCAACCAACGAACGGATCGCGCCGTGGCTTTAGTATTATCCTAGCCTCTTGCCGAGACACGATGGCGTCCATAGATAAGACGGTTTGTGAAGCGGTCCGAGGTTGGGTTGCACTGCTCCTTCATTTTTGGGAAGGAGGTCGAATTGTCTCATGATGGCCGGTTTCATCGTGTTCTGGTCTCGACGATCCGACCTCGGCTGAACCCCAACCTTGGTCAGGGGGTGTCATTGTTGGCAGCTGAAGTGAATGCATTGCCGGAGAGCTGCATGATATTGCACATTCTTCATTTGTCAACTGCGAGATGAATCTTGCTTTAGCCAAACTTCCCATTGCAACAACCATAGTCAACGCGACCAAATCGACACATGCGGTGGGGGAAGAAGTCGCACCTCCGCCCGATATCAGATCAACCAAGCCATCCCAGAAGTGAGAGGAGAATAGGGACAACAGGCTATATTTTGCGTTGGTATAGTCCCTCTCCACTGATAGATCATGATCATCTATTACCAAGCTAGTGGGTAGTTTTGATATCCGACCGCAAAAGATCCCCAAGTGGTTCGTAGGATTGAGCTGGAGTGGAGCAGCCCCGTTCATGTTTCACTCCAATTCCGGGGTTGGCGCTCGGATCTAATCATAATCTTTTAATCTCATCGCTCACGCACGTTCCCACAGCCAGTACAGTGGTTTCGTCCATCGACTGTCATGACAATGGCTCAATATGGATGCAACTTTGTACAGAAGCAATTCCAGGAATTCGATGTGAGTTGGGGTGAGGATAAACTGGGGGAGCAGAGGCGACAATCCTGTCCATCCCCGTTTTCCCCTTTCACCTCAGCTTCATCACATTTCTCTCTCTCGGAGAATCTTCCAAACATCTGCACCCCATCAGTGGCACCACATGCTTTTGATTCTGTCAGTCAATCAGTCAAGCTTCTCCCATGATCGTCTAGGTACTATGCACAAGATCATGCCTTCTCCATTCTGCTGTGCACTTTCCTCCAGGACTGCACAATCTAGGGAAGGTGCAATGAACGGATACTCTTTCCAAGGACTCTCCAGTCCTTGTGGCATGTTCTCTAGTTCAACCTCATATTCCTGTCGATGTGAGCCTAATACACAAAGCAACCCGCTTGTATGGAAATCATGGATACGCAGTGTCAGAACGCCCCAATCGCTCAACATGGCTCGTCCGACGAAGATGATGAAGTCTCGGCAACGGAGGTGGAACCTTTGGGAGAAGCTACACCACTAGGCAAAGCGACCTTGTCAGAATCTGTGATGAGCGAGGAGAGCTCCATCTTCAACGCCCTAAGGACAGACTCTGGCACTGAAGACCTCGGCTCGAAGTTTGGCTCAGCATGTCAATCTCGTGGCAACTTGGATAGCAGAATCGTTGCCAATATGGCCATGTTTGTGCCCCTTGCGCCAGAAGCAACGGTTCCTTCCCAGCGGGCGAACCGTGAGCCAAAATACTGCCCAGAACAAAACACTCAGCCCCCTGGCTGGCATCCTCAGTTATCCTTGGACAACCGTGTGCTATCTACAGATGAAGGGAAGGCGGTTGTAGCCTCACCTCCAGACGAATCGTTGAAGCAGAACCTTCTCGACGCGTTGCACCTCAGGAAGGCAGTTAGTCTCAACGATGCAGATGATACTTCGAGAACGTTCAAGTGGCCCGGTAGTCTTGACTCGCCGGTCAGCCCTGCACTTCCCACTTATCCTCCACCAGTAAGAGCGCCCACGCCCCCTGGGCTTCCTTCATTCGGGACTCGAGAAGCTGTCTACTACACTGCCCAGTTCCCCGTTCGCTCTGCCACCACCAGTGGGCGAGCGCAGCAGTCCAGTACAAGCCCGCCTAGGCGTGCGGGCAGGCGTGTTGCTGATGGCTCTAGAACTGCATCCTACGGGGGGATGCTACGGCGGCTACTCAGCTTCTCATCGTCTCCCCCGCCACAGCCTAGGCGACAGACATATACCGTGGCAAGAGCCGAAGATGGTACTGCGGTTCAAGGCCGCTTCCCTTATAGACAGAGTGGTCATGGGATGAATTTGGCTAGGCGATTGGAAGACCATCCATTTCACCGAACTGCCATTTCAGCTACTTGCGAAGATGGTTTAGAGATTGATAGCAGTGCTACACAAGACGGACAAATCAACAGAGGGCTCCCAGACATGAAACAGGATCAGGCCGACAGCATTGATTCTGTAAACACAGGCACGGGCAGTCGCATGCGAAGACATCGCCCGCAGATAGGCCTAAATAGCTTACTACCGTTGCCTCACCCAGTTCTCGCAAACCCTCTCCAACGGCCGGCCTCGGCAAATGGTTCTCTTCCTACATGTAGGGTTGACTCATTTTACACCTGTGCTTCTCGCTCGCAGATGCCTGGCACACCCAGGCACATGGAAAGTCTCGATGCCCAAGGCACTGAGATCGTGGGAGATTCTGCGGCATGCTACCTTGCGCCCACGGAGTCACCACCCGTCTTTACGGCACAGGAAGAAAGTGAGTCCACCAACATTAACTCGGGTCCTTGGCTACGATCGCTGCGTGGCGTCAATTTTTGGTTGTCCTGCTGTATGGGGGCTCGTGATGAGCAGAACGCCGCCATTCACTCCAATACGACTTCCAATGACACATACGCCACTGCGAGAAGCCACCTTTCATCTAATGCAGCTGAACACTCGCACCCCAATGCCCCTCGAGATCACGCACAGAGCCTACAAAAGTGGTTTTCTGGAGCTTGGAGGTCGCTCCAAACGTTTCCTTTTCGCAACTCTCCAGCCACAAGCCCGATGTCGGCCTGATTCATATACCAATGATTGCTTGGACCATAACCTGCATACTTGTGACGACTGTTCTTTCATTAGCTCATTTATTGGATTGGGATGCGCCAGATACATTTGAACCTTTCTCCGTTTTCCAACGCTCATCGAATGGCACATATGCAAGGCGCGCATTCATCCAGGGGTCTTGTCTCAATTGTTCGAATTACTAGCGCTAGCCTGTAGAAATGTGACTGCATACTTCAAGTCTTCATTATTGGCAAAGTCATTATCAATGTCATAAGCGAACAACAAGCTGTAGTCATTTCGTCTCTGCTGACATGAACCAACCGACTCCATCGCTCCGATGCCGAAATGCTCTAAAGATAAGAGTTATGAACAGAACACGACAAGGCCTGTCAAGGCCTACCCACACACATAGATAAATTCTCCACAAGAAGAAGAGGCGAATAAGCGAGATGATTCTCATGCAATATAGACAGATCACCCATGGGGCAATGATAAAAGAAAAGAGACAAAAAAACATAGAACAGGCTCCTAATGCACAAGAGAAATGAAAAGGAGATATTTTGGAAAATGAAATGATAAGAAGAAAACGAAAAGAATATCTTCATGAGCCACTTAGGACTGAATATAACTTAGACCGAATATTATACCACATCATCTTTCCCCAACGTTGACGATAGTTATATACGACGGTCACAGCCCCGTAAAGAACTGACACGCCTCTTTGAGTTCCTCATCATCAGCAGTAAAATCCCACCCTACTATTCTCGGGTCCTGGCTTGCGCAAATTATCTTATGCGCGTCGAATTGGAGCTTGAAGATCCTCGAGGTAGGTGGTTGGTGGGGGGCGGCAGGGAAGGCTCTCACTCGGGGGTGTTGCTGTTGCTGAGCATGCGGTGGTAGTGGTGGTGGTCTCATTGGAGCGCCGGCATGCATGATGGGCGGGGGAGCTGGAGCTTGAGCTTGAGCTTGAGATGTGCTTTGCTGGACGGTGGGGGGAAGGTTGTTGGAGATGAGGAGGGCCGGGTTCAAGGCTAGGTGCGCGGGCCAGGGTGCATTATGTGATGAGGGGTCGTGGGTGTTGGAGTTGGTTGTAGGCAATCGTGGTGGTTGTGTTTGATGCTGCTGGTTCTGGCCTTGCTGTGGTGCTCCACCGCCTGCTGATATCGCGGCGGCTGCCATGGTAGCTTGGGCTTGTTGCGCCTGGTGCGCTTGAGCAAAGGCGTTGGCTCGTGCGATTGTCTGGCGTGCAGCGGAATCTAAGTGGCTGTATGAGGCATTCGCAGCGGCGTCTGCCTGTCGGAGTCTCTGGCCTACAACCCAGCGGCCTTCATTATCCTTTTTCCAGATGATGATGGTCTCGTCGTATGAGCCGGAGACGATTCGTCCCCATTGGCTTCCGCCTCCCCCTGGAGGGATTTTGGCGCCCAGTGCTTTGATGTCTCTGGGGTTCCGAGACCCGTTGGTGTTCTGCTGATATCCTGCGCGCCGAAGGGCACTAGGGCCAAGGTCAACGTTTGCGTTGGTGCGCTGGGCGTCACGGAACTCGTTGTCGACAGCCAGAGCTTCCAGTCGTAAGGCCTCCTCGGCTCCCGGTGGGTCTCCGAAACCAGCTTGAACTGTCCGAACGAGGTTGGCATGTCCGTGCAGGCAGGCCACTTCGGCACCGGAGGCGTGGTCGAAAATGCGAACTGTATCATCGTTGCTTCCGCTGATTATACGTTTGCTGTCGAACTGCACGCACGCAATGCCTTTTTCGTGGCCTATCATTGTCTTTCTACAAGCGCCGTTGCGCAGATTCCAGACCTTGATCAAGCGATCGCCCGAGGCGGACACGATCTCATCCTCGTTGAGCTGAATAGCATTCACTGCGGCTGTATGTCCGTCAAGGATCATTAGCAATGAGTATGGGGCTAAAGTTCTGATGTGATTCTTGGCGATTTCGGCTTCAAGTACGAAAGCGGGGACGTCGCTTGTGTTGACAATATACGACGGATAGGAGACGCCCGAGCCCTGAAAAACAGAGGGGTAGTCCTTGTCCAACGGAGTGAGATGACGCCTGTTCCAGACCTTGATAAGCTTGTCCTTGGAGCAAGTTACTATATAGCGTTCGTCGAATCGGAGATTCAGGACAGAGTCATCATGAGCTGGCGCAATTTCGTGAAGCTTCTCTCCAGTGGAAAAGCGCCAAATTATCACATTCTTGTCGCTGCTTCCCGACACAATGATATCTTCAGATGGGCGGGGGTCGAACTGAAGACAGAGAACCGACTTTGAGTGGCCTTGGAGAGGCGGATGCCATAGTCGCTTCGTGTCCAGGTCCCATACTCGAACAGTCTTATCCCGACTACCACTGACCAACCATTTCTCGGTAAACTGGATCGCATATACACACTCTTGGTGAGATTCTTCCATGTGATTCGGATGGGGCAGTTGAAAGTTCGTGAAACGGCCCTTGGCCCAGTTCTCTTCCAGCCGCCTCCGTACCCGATACAGATGCGGCCAATTCATCTTTGCAGCGCCATTGGGCATTCGAATTAATAGTGGCGATTTGGGGGGGCTAGAGTTCGTAGAAATTTGCTGCAAATGTGACTTCGATTGGGCAGTTCCTGACGACTCATGGCGGGCGCTAGATGATTGTTGCCCAGGTGCGATCGCCGGTCCTCGATCGTTTGACGCATCACTCATGGGATGATCGCCTTCAATATCCGCCGCTGCGGAGGGCTGCAGCCCATTTCCTTGCACGGCCTCATTGTTATCCAGTGATCCTGCTGCGCGAGAGTCTAGCCAGCTGGGGGGTACGCGCTTCTTCTGTTTCGGTTCACCGAGATCCGGGTCTATATGCCTCAACCGAGATTTTCGGAGCTGGGGGGATTCCAATCCCGAGTGTTCCTGTTCGTACGTATGCACGGCGTCAATGTCGACCCGCCAGCCTTCGCTGATATATAAGTCTCTCCAAAGGCGGGTGTCAAAAATGCGACTACGCCAGGAGCGAGATGCCAAGGAAGCCGTTACCAACGTTTGAGGGTCGAGGTAGGAAAAGATCTCGGCGGTGATCTCCGGAGGTAACTTCAGCACGGGATCCATGTGCAATAGAGGCGCTAGCTTTTCAACCACCGAGGCGACAGTGGAAGCACGCAAGGTGCGTAGAAGCTTGTAGGCGAGCTCTACATGAAACACCACAGCCTGTCAGTACGATGATGATCGCGCTAAAGAAGCCAAACAGAAGAGGAGCCTTGCGCCGGACGGGACCAAGGGAAGGGGGGCTGAACTCACCGGCTCGCTCGGCCTCACTATAAGCATTAACCCAGTCGGGGAGCGGCATCACATCATCGGGGGGCGAATTCAAAAACTCCTTGTCGGGCTGGCTTCTCGTTTCATCGGAATAACCCTCGTCGAGCTTGAAGGGCGCAGACAGCGAGGGGGCGGTGAGATCGGAGGGATAACTGGCGGCGCCCTGAAGCAGCCGGGGACGAGGGATGATCGGAGTTTGCGCGGTGTCCCTCGCCATGGGTTCGCTGGGAAATTTGCCTAGCTCAGTTTCTCTAGCCTCCTTGAGGCCCCTCCGTTCAGACAAAAGGGCGACAAGGATAGGATGGGCCTAGGTGCTCCGGCAAGGAAGCAAGGCTTGTGGTGGCTAGGGCTCCTAGGACAGTGAGAAGCAAAGAGGTGAGCTGGACACCACCCTTTCCTTCTATGGGGTTAGACAGAGATGGCTATTGGCACAACCACATAAAGAAGGACAATAGCGACCAGATTGAATTAAGGCCGAGAAGAAGAAAAAATGGAAAACTAGCAAGGCATGGCGGGTTGATGGATGAGGCAGAGTGGTTGGGGTGGGAAGCTGGTGAAGTGACGTTTTGGAGGGAGTAACTGACACCGCGGAGAGTGGAGCATCAATAATACACAAAGCAATCATGGCGTGACGGGTATTGTTTACCTGACCGGGGAGAACTCTCACTTCTCCCAGCAGTTACACCTCCATCCATACTATCAGAGCATAGTTCATGATAATCTCAGCTTTTTGATCACTGTTTACCTAAACTACTGTGAACTTCTTCATAACGGCAATTTATGGGCCATAAGTTTGATGCCGAATAGGTCAGATGTCTAAACTCTCGAGAATCTCCCCTCATCGTATCTTCCGACCCAACATCGGCACCACCACTTCTAGTTCAGAAAGGTGGGCAGCTCATATACCAGGTACTATTTGAGAGAAGGTAACAAATCTATATATATGTTGCATTAGCAATCATCCTGGCTTGCTCTTAGGCGATCCACAGTCCTTTCTACTTAGTAGCTCTTCGTCGCAGTCTGTACCTCCAGCCATTATGAAACCCTCTACCATCCAAGCAGCTGATCGAACCGTTCCTGTCCACATGCTCTCATAAAGACAACTCAGTAACCTTGTTGGGCCCGTCTGCTTTATCTTCGATGCTGCTGTGGGTTGAGATCTATGAGAATTCACACGGTCATGATTGACAGTCTACTACTAGACTGTATACTGTTGCGTACTATGTTGATTATATACTAGCGGTTTAGCTAGCACTAATCTTGTCATAAGGCTACTACGGTCTCTCTTTACTAGCCACAATACTAGGCGCACTCGTTGAAATTATGCCCCTGCTCTTCTAAAATACCAGTTTGTTCTTTTGCATTCAAGCTTTAATTGAATGTTTGATATTCCAGGCGGAAAGCAGTCTCTTCTAACGGTTGGTCATAATAGATATTTAGTTAGGTAGCACATCTTTATAATGAGTCAGTCACATCGCTTTTATGCTCTAACTAACCTAGAGATTCTCTGGACAGGATATTGCTTTGTCCTAGTGAAGATACCGTGTCTGCATGCGATGATCGATTTCTTTGACTTTCGGCCATGCTCAAGAAATTCGTCCTTACTCTCTTTACACCTAAACATCGTTTGGACGATATGCGAGATACTATATAGTATACGACTTAGTATTAAGACCCATCTTCATGCTGATGAAGTAATGCCAGTTAGACCTCCAGTCCCATAGTCACAATGTGCAGTGTCTGCTGAAACAGCTATCGAACCGAAAAGAACAGAAAGTAAGAGCACAGAATCAACCAGGATGATAGTCTTGATGGCGCGAGCACCTTGGGTGGGGCAAACACTTGACTCGGGCAGCTCACCCCGTCCTACAAAGCGATAACGATCAACCGGGGCAAGAAGGGGTGCTCATTTACTTTTGCTGTATCCAAAAGAGAGAGATCTATCAAAGTACGAATTATGCACATCCCACTGACCCAACCACCGGGATAGAGGCTGTCACTCCTAGGCAAGGGGAGAGCAGGATGTAACTTACACCCTGTGCCTGACCGAGTTGGCGGGAACCAGTACCTTTAATTCCGATGCAGGAGGGGGCGGCAAGGTACCTCCCAGCCGGTCCTTTCCAACATCCTACGAACTAGTGAAATGTATCCTGCAACTTGGGATCATCACCCCCCAAACCTCCGTAATTGTCATCATCGTGGGAAATAACAATTACATGCTAAAACTCGAAGTACTAGATTTTTGTCATAAGGATCCAGCTCGTCGGTGGCTTGGATCATTCCATCATCGTCCACCACCACAGCCCTGAAACTGGCGGACATCCACTTCTGTCACTTCCCCGACCAATGACGGCGCCGTGCCCAGGGCTCCGATGGGGTCGATATCGCGACTAAAGAGGAACAACCATCTACTTGGGAATAGTTAGAGACATTGTGTCGCGGGTGTTGGTACCTGCCAGGTGGTATATGTTGCTCTCCTCCTGTCTGGGATAGTATGCAGGTCGGACACCCTAACCCCTGGGAAAGCACTAGCAGTGATTGAGGATACATGAAATAGGGAAAAATGTCCGAGTGTCGATGCTGATACGACTTTGGCAAGAAGTAGAAGAAGAAGATGATGATGTTGAAGATGAATCAGTGTGGTAGTATGGTATCTTCTAGGCACAGTAGATTAGTCTTAGTTCCAGGTGTATGGCTACAACAGGTGTACTGTATAATACTGTGTGTAGATAGTCACTGACTACCAACTATGGGGCAGCAATTTAAGCGTGCCTCGGGACTAGTTCAAATCTCAAACAGTTGGTGTGAGAGGAGTCTTCATGCAGCCGATGCCACCTCCAATCTGCTTCGGTCTTCTCGAATCCTTACCGGGGCCAACCCCAGCTTTTTTGCTAATTCCGGCCTGAATTTGAATTACTTGTTGAAATTCAAATCTTTCGCTTCTAAAGTCGGTCAAATATGACTTGACCATCAATTCCCCCCAAGTGAGCTAAGTGGCTCTTGAAGATTCCAGATTCTACTTCGTAACATCTTTGAATATGTTGTTGTTGTTGTTTGGTGCTCCTCATTCCTGTCTCCGTTGCCCGGACTCTCCCATTATTATTATTATTAGTATATACTTTGTATGAAATTGCGCAACTCGCATACTTGCCTTTCCCACCCTTCACGATCGGCTATCTACTTTACTATCTGATTCTTCATCAGCTTCTCCTCTTGGTATGTTGCCTCCTCCTTCTTGTCCTTCTCCTTCTCTCTCTGTCTCCCTCCACTCTTCTCCCTTCCCCCCTCCACTCGATACTGACTAGTAGTATCTACTGCTGTCTCCTCTCTCCACTCCAAAACCCACTCACCCGAACACCACTGCTTTCTCTCCCCTCCCCCCCCTCTCTCTCTCTCTCTCTTCCACCCCCCTTTAATCATCCCGTCCTGGTCAGTCAGTCCTTCCTTCCGACTGACTAGTTCCAAGCAGTTAGTACAGAGTAGTTGTCGGGAAGTTTTGTCACTTCTTCACTTGTCGACTGGAGCTGACGCGCGCTACCACTCAGTCGGGCAAACTGGACCATTTGACTGGCCTGGACTCTCTTTCTTTACCCTTCCCCATTCCGGTGTTTCCATCTCTTGTCCCTCTGCTTGTGTCTATCCTTTGGTTTCTCACATTTTCCCTCCTTTCTTCCCCATTGACCACCTCCCCCTCCATCCATCCCCTCCCCTCCTCCTCCTCCTCCTCCCTCTCTTGTTTCTTTCTCTCCCTCTCTTCGCTTCCTCTCCTTCCGGGTTTGTTTTCCACCCTTATTTTCGTATCATAGCTATTTTTATTAGTTTTTTTTCCATTTAAATTGACCTTTACCTACGGTTCCCGGCGGTACCGCTCCAGGGATCCTTTCCCGTTCCCAGTCTATCTGATTTCCACCTTTCAGCTGTTCTCGGTTGAGGGGCAAAATCCGCCTCGCTGGAACCTCGCTGCTTACTGCTGCTCTTACTGCTGCTCATTCTCTGGTTCCTGCTTACTACGTGCCTGCGCTTGCCTGGCTGCAGCGGCAAATCAAACCCCACACCCAGCATTTCTATTTTTCTCGATCCTTCTTGGGTTTCGGGTTCGCCATCTTTTGATCAGGAAGGGCGCTGTCGCCAGCAAGGGCCGGAGATTTGTCCCTGGCCAAGGCCATACTAATTTTCTATTATAAGCGCAGAGCTTCCCCGAATTACAAAAATCCAACATCCAGTCGTCGCGTGAACTCGTCGACCCCGGGTGTATTTTATTTTAAATCCAACGCTTTGGATCAACTTCTGGCGACGAGGGTCGAGACACGGAACAACAGCTCGCGGTTTGACTCAGCTTTTTAGGGAGAGTTAACTAATAGTTAACGTACCACCATCTCCACTCCTAAGGTTCCTTAGCTGCTCGCTTGTCCCATCCATCCCGCATCGGTCCACCGGCTCGCATCCAGTGACCCATGCTCGACTTGATCCTCGTGCAAGCACGCCTGTCATTTCCTTCCTCTTCCTTCCTCCGTCGGTCTGCTGCGCAGATTTGAAGTCCTTCGCTCCTCCCCCACATTGTCGCCGGCCTCCACTCCTTACGGTCCGAGTCGGCCACCACTCCCGTCGAGATGGCTGAGACCATCACCATGAATGGCGGTCCTATCGCCGAGGACAACATCATCAACCGCCGCGGCGGCGAATCGATCTATCAGAGCTGCGTCAACCTCAAAAAGCGCCTGGCCGAAGTACCGAACTTCGAGCCCCATATGCGAGAGATGGAGGAAGCCGATTTGGCTCAGGGGAACACCGACCCGGTGGCGTCGCTGTGGAATTGTCTCCGGACGGGCTATCCCTTACTGACTATCTACAATGCCTCCGATCCCGAAGAGTTCCTGGAGATCGATACAACGAAAGTTGCCGAGGCCAAACGCCCGAAAGCCGCCACCTTCAAATTCCTCCACGCGTCTCTGAAGGAGCTGGGATTCCCTCAGCAAGACTGCTTCCTTATCACGGACCTTTACGGCGAAAACACCACTGGCTTCACCAAAGTGATTAAGATGGTTAACCGGGTTCTGGACATCCTGGAGATGCAGGGACAGCTGAAGCGACCGTCGGATATTGGACCAGGGGCCCCGGCGAAAGGTGCCGTCAAGCTCACCAAACGGGAACACATTCTCAAGGAGTTACTGGAAACGGAGCGCGACTATGTTCATCATCTCCAGAACCTACAGGCCCTGAAAAAGGAACTAGAAGAGACAAGTGCCGTGAATGGTGATGCTAGCCATCAGATTTTCTTGAATCTCAACAATCTGCTTGATTTTGCTCAGCGGTTCTTGATCCGTATCGAACAGCACTATGCGCTGCCCGAAGAGAAACAAAACTGGGGTGAGCTGTTTATCCAGCACGAGGAGGCCTTCCGGCAATACGAGCCCTTTATTGCCAACCAGATGCGCTGTGATGAGATCTGTCTCAGAGATTGGGACAAGATCCACATGGCTCCGCGTTCGAAGGACCTGCTCCAGATGGTGGCGCAACCCGCAACCCTGAACGGTTTCTTTGTCAAGCCTTTCCAGCGCTTGACTAAATACCCCCTGATGTTAGGAGTAAGAGTCCCCTCGTCTTAGAACATGACCATTCAGTCACGTTACTGACTGTCACGCAGGAACTGTTAAAGCAGACAGAAAACCCGGACCTCCGGACTGATATCCAACGAGCCATCGACGCTATCCAGACCGTTTTAGACTCGGCAAACGATGCCATTGACAAAGAGCACCTGCAGTCAGCCGTCAAAGACCTCGATGAACGAGTTGATGACTGGAAGGCCTTGAAGATTGAAGCATTTGGCGACCTTCTCCGTTTTGGCACCTTCTCGGTAATCAAGGGTGACAATGGCAAAGACTCGGAGAGAGAGGTTTGTAGCCTTTCTCTGGCTCTGTTAAGCGTAGCCAGCTAACTTCTGGCAGTATCATATTTATCTCTTCGAACGGATTCTCCTCTGCTGCAAGGATATTAATCCCAACAAGCAAAAGTCGAAACTGAATTTAGGCAAAGACAAGCCTGCTGCGACGATTAAAGGCAGGCCGCGACTTCAGCTCAAAGGCCGCATCTACATGGCGAACGTGACAGATGTGCTTTGCCTTCCCAAGCCAGGTACGAGAACCTTTGGTCATCTATTCACGGGGCTACTTTGACTAAATGATTCTGTGACAGGCTCCTATCGCATCCAGATCTTCTGGAAGGGTGATCCAGGAGTCGTGGACAATTTCATCATCCGCTATTCGAACGAGGACATTATGCGCAAATGGAGCAGGGACATCGAGGCACAGCGGGCGATTCAGGCAGAGCAGCGCAGCGCTCGCAACACCGGCACCTCCGAGACCGAATTTACGTACATGAGATCCATGGCCAACATGCCAAACCCGTATCAGCAGGAGTACGATGCCGAAGAACAAGCAGCCACGCAGGAAGCTGGCTTCTTCTCGGAATTCCCGATGAGCCGTAACGCCTCCAGCACCAGCCTCAGAACCCGTTCAGCAACAGGAGGAAGCGGTAGCTCCGGTCGCCCTCGCATACCTGTACCCGATCCGAATCTGTCATTGCACACTCATCTTTCTGGAGGCAGTATGTCGCCAGCAGAGAGGAATGCTCCGTCTTACTTCTCCCCCGTCGCCGAAACTCCGTCTACGCGGTCCAGCTCCCAGTCTACTGGATATTTCCATGGTCGTCAAGTGACACCTACGGCCAATTGGAATGAAGAAAATGCTCGGTATACAGCCCCGGCTTTGTCCCGTGCGACGTCAAGAGATGGGCCTAATTCAAATCCTTATTTCAGCGGTGCTCCGAATGGACGAAGTACTCAACGACCCTCACTCCCTCCGATGTCAGGGGCTCAGGCGGCAAATGGCATGGCCCAGCGAATGCGATCTGCAAGTAGCCCCGATATCCACAACCACAACCCGGAAATGCGTCGTTACATGGGCGCCCATACGATGCAGACCGTCGACAATGTGCCCGTCCCGCCAATCCCCGCTCATATATCCAGCATGATGGCGCCTCCCAACCGCAGCCAGAACAACTCCCCCACCAATGCCAACCTCCCCATTCGCAACGCAAACCACCTTTCCAACTCCCAGCAACATTCCGATCCCCGGCATGTCCCGCAAACGCATTTCCACGAGCCCCAATACTCCGACTACCGTCCTAGCACATCGGCCACCGATCAGCCCACGTCTCCACTGAGCCACGAGCCGGATGAGGAGCCCCTCATGCCGACTCAACTAAAGGTTAAGGTGAATTTCGATGATAACTACGTCACGCTGGTCATTGCCAGCAACATTATGTTCCGCTCCCTCATCGATCGTGTGGACGCCAAGCTGGCCCGATTCACCAACCGCTCAATTGGCAGCAAGTCGGTCAGGCTACGATACCGGGACGAAGACGGAGATTTCGTTACGATTGATAGCGACGAGGCCGTTCAACTGGCATTCATGGAGTGGCGCGAACAACAGCGTGACATGCTCGCTAGGGGTCAAGTAGGAGAGATTCAACTCTACTGTCAGGCAGTGGAGACTTAGATATGATAGAGCTGGGGCAATGGCATATGTTCCAGTACTGAAGATAATTTTCTGCTTATTCTCTCTCTCTCTACCTTATTTTGTTTTCTATTGTTACCTTTCGTCCTTGGTTCTCCGACCATCGCTGCATTTGATTTTCTCTCCGCATCTCATTCTGTGTGAGTTGGCTAGAGACGAGACATTGTCACCGGCGTTGTCTCCTTGGTTCACTCTACGACTCACATCCAACTGGATTGGCTGGAGAGCGTTGGAGAGGCTATTGATTCTATTCGCATGGGTTAAGGGAGAGGCAAGAAAAAAAAAGATTAACGGCCGGGGCGCTTGAGATTCTTGATGGTCCCTGGCAAGGAGCCGGTTTTGTGGGTTTGCTTCGGACACCCTGTTGGGATTTGGGAGAGGCGGCTCTCTGCTCTGGGAAATGTTGATGACTCTCCATTTGATCTGATCTACCATGACTGCATGATGTATGTATACCGCTGTTGGTTTTTCATTTTTCATTTTTCATTTTTTTTTTTCTTCTCTTCTTTTTACTATTTGCGCAGGACGGATGTCGGTCATAAGAGACGAGCTGTATAGTGTTCCTGCATATTTGGCCTTGGGATGGACTTTGATGTTGCGGTACCTCATCTGTTGTGTCTTGATTTGTTGCTTTCTACTTTTTCTTGCTGGCTTCCCTGCTGGCCCTGTCAATGATAGTATTACGACCTTAGATTTCCTTGGTACTGGGTGCAGATATAGAGCGTGAACAATTGCCGAAGATAATTGCTCCAAAAATAAAACTGAAAGGAGTAGAAGTAGACAGGAGATAGGTCAGTCAGTACCTGGCGGGCGCCATAATTCCACGGATCCATCAGTACCGAGAAGTGGAACTTCGGGCACTCCACGGTCCAAACCAACGGGGCCTGAAAGGGCTGAAAGGGGGGTGTGGGTGTCCGTCAGTTTAGTCCCTGTCATCAGACAGGTCGCACCTCTGAGATGCCGTCTATCCGATTGTATACCAAAGATAGATAGACAGATCGATAGGGGATAAGGGGGAGGAGGAGGAGGAGGAGCAGCAGCAGCCACCGCCACTCGTCTTTTGCTGCTGGGGCCGGAAATCGATTCTACGTACTTTGCATCGTCTCGGAAGGGTATGGCAGATGATTTGATTCATTGGAGCCGGTGTCGGATCCCAGCCGAAAGAGAGTCCACTGGAGCCCGTCGATCGGGACTGAGCCACGGGAAAATGGTTGCGGTCTGGACGACGGTTGGGTCACTATCGATTCTGGCTTCGACGATTCGTCACGTATGCGGTGGCAGTTGACCCTCGACCTCTAAACTAGTCAGTTAGTGAGGCATTTTACTGTGTAAGGATGCTTTTCTTTCCCTGGCCGGGCGGCAGTTGCGCGATTATTTCTGCTCCTAATTTGGTCCCAGTTGACTGGTGCCTGCGGGCTGAAACTAGTAGGCATTTATTTGTCGCAGATGACAGGAGTAGGAAAAGGAGAATGGCAATCGATTGATGGATGTACCTTGTTGAAGTCTTGAGTCTGAGTCTGAGTCTGGGTCTGGGTCGAAGGCGATATCCGTAGATTGGGCGGAAAGGAAAAGTTGGAGAAAGCAAGTTCCAACAGCAAGCAATCAGTTGGAGGAGCCATCCTTAACGCCTTACAAGAGAAAAATTAACCACTGTACCTTCTTCTCTGGCCGCCTTTTTTCTGTTTCCTTTTTCCTTCCCTGTCCGACTTCGTCTTCATTCTTATTTATTCATTGGTATATCCTTTCTCTCTCCCCTCTTGCTTCCCTTTCTCCAACTCCTGTTCTTTGTGGAGAGAAAGCTCTATCTTTGCGCTACTTTGCCTATCTTTTTCTTGTTCTATTCGTACGGTTCTTAAGTTAACCCCAAATTCTTAAATACTTTCTTACCCTTTGATCCAGGGAACTCCGATAGCTTGCATACACTAGATTGCTTTCTTCCCCAGAATTTGCGACTTGGCAAAAGCAGCCCAGCATGTCTTTCTCCGGCCGCCGCTTGAGCATCCTGCGCCCCTCCAACCGCCGCTTCTCGGTCGGCAAGGAGTTGTCTGAGAATGGTATGTCGATCGTCTTATTTCTTTCTCTTCTTTTGTTTTGTTTTGTTTTTTTTATTCTTGCTCCATGTCTACCGCCGCGATCATGCGGAGATGTGGTTTGCATCGCAGCAAGGCTGAATGTTTAGCCTTGTGCATGAGGGGCACATAATACTCCGTTTTCTTCAACAACAAAAGCTACTAGTCAAAAGCAGACTATTGCAGGCATTCCAACTGACATAACATCCTTGCCATGCAGAACTCCGTTCCGAAACCCATCGTCAGTTCCGTAGCGCCCACGAAGGTCACCGTCCCCATGCCGGTCTTGATGCCTCCCGTGCCTCCACTGGTGTTGTCTGGTGTACCGAGCGTGCCACCGAACATGGTTATGCTGAGGATCCCTCCGCCTGGGCCAACCTAGGCCAGGGTGCGCCTGAAGCCGATGATGAGATCGAGGGCAGTTTCCCTCGCCCGACTTCCATCCCCATCACCTCCGCCGCCCGTGAGTACGGTCCGACCGCCGGTATCAAGCCTCTGCGTGCCGCCGTCGCTCGCCTCTACAATGAGCACTATCGTCAGGGCAAGGCCAGTCAGTACACTTGGGAGAACGTCTGCATTGTTCCCGGTGGTCGTGCGGGTCTGATCCGTATTGCTGCTATTCTGGGAAATTCGTACTTGTCTTTCCCTATCCCTGATTACTCGGCCTACTCGGAGATGTTGTCGCTGTTCAAGAACGTGAGTGCAATTAGTGACTGACGTTGGAGGACTGTGGTCATGATTTAGTTTACTGGACCGATCTGGGCTGACTTTGGAATTCAATAGATCGCTCCTATTCCCATTCCCCTCGCCCAAGACGACCACTACCACATCCACCCCGATAAGATCGCCGAGGAGATCGCTCGTGGAACGTCTGTCTTGCTGACCTCCAACCCTCGTAACCCTACCGGACACTTTGTCTCCAACCCCGAACTGGCTCAGATCCAGGACATCTGCAGAGATCGTGCGACTCTGATCCTGGACGAGTTCTACGGCGGCTACAACTACACTACCGACTGTGACGGAACCACGATCAGTGGTGCCACCAACGTGGAAGATGTCAACAAAGATGGTTCGCCCGCTGACCCTCCCTGAACAAACGAGAACCGGTGCAGGTTGTTCCTGCCATGCTGACTCTAACAGATGTGCTTTTGATTGACGGTCTGACCAAGCGTTTCCGTCTTCCGGGTTGGCGTATCGCTTGGGTTGTGGGCCCCAAGGAGTTCGTCGATGCCCTGGGCTCTGCTGGTTCCTACCTGGACGGTGGTGCCAACGCGCCTTTCCAAGAAGCCGCCGTTCCCATGCTCGAGCCGTCGCTGGTGCGCGCGGAGATGAAGGCCTTGCAGGTGCACTTCCGCGAGAAGAGAGACTTTGTTGTTGGGCGCCTGCGTGAGATCGGTTTCCGCATCGACGACGTGCCCCAGGCCACCTTCTACATCTGGCTTGACCTGACCTCCCTGGACCCTCCTCTTCCCAAGGAGGCCAACCTGTCCGACGGACTGAACTTCTTCAACGCCCTCTTGACCGAGAAGGTCATTGTGGTCCCTGGTATCTTCTTCGACCTCAACCCCGCCCACAGAAGAGATCTGTTCGACAGCCCTTGCCACCACTTCGTTCGTCTGAGCTACGGCCCGAAGATGGATGTTCTGAAGATGGGTCTGGACGGTATCGAGCGGGTCATCCGCAAGGCTCGGGCGCAGTTCGAGCCCAAGTGGGAGGACGAGGTGGCTGTCCAGGATGACTAAACGGGTCGTGATTCCTAGCATTTATACACGTAGAGCAATAGATGACAGCATCAGCGTAGGGCATATATATATACCTTTGAGAAGCCATAATTGATTTGTTCATTATCAATATAATAGATATGGCATGAATAGCTTGTTCTTGTCCACGCTGTGCCTCCGAGACAATACAGGGAGACGACGAATGCCGATCGCAGCCCACATTGCATCACGTGATACCCGGCTCATCTCGCGGTCGCAAAGGACATCCATCCCCTTAATCCTAGCTATTCAGTATCTCTCTCTGGACCGTCCAGTTGCTTGCACCTGAAAGCAGCTGGAACTGCTGCGCAATATGACGTGCTCGCGGTTATGGCCATCAACGTTCAGCGCGTCCTGAACCTGACCGTCTTCACCTTCTTCTCCGTGGTCCTGTTCCTCTGCATCATTCTGACTCCGGCCGATGCGATCTACCAGTGCTACATCACGCAGCGCCTCACGAACATTTTCATCATCACCGGCGGCTACGTTGTCACCTTTATCCTCGCGGTCTTAATCTACACCACGCGTATATATACCAACCGTACCGTTCTCTCCGGCATCCCTAAAGCATGGATCCCCGTCGAGCGAGAAGACGTTGGCAAGAGTGTGCGCCGACTGGTTAAGGAGGGTCTGGCGCATAGTGCGATCATAGCCTACCAGGCTCGACCCAGGGACATTGCAGCAGACGGATATGATTTCTCAAGCTATGAATCACTCCTGGTGGACTACGACAATCCGCCGTGGGGTCAGGTCGAGCACCCCGGATGGTCCTCGCCATCGTGTCCTGACTTGCCCGACCTACCGTATCGAACTGTGGTCCAGGAACTGCCTCATCTCATTGAGGCCAAGGCCGTGTCACTAGCTCCTCCCGATCCAATCTTCACGGCCACTCAGCGGGCGCTTCACGCGCCTTTCCCCGAAACCGAAGAGTCGATTCCTGACACGCGGGTAGTGGAAGTACTACGCCGGCCGACATCGATGGGTCTGCGGGGGTATTTGCAGCATCTGACTGCACTGGATGTGATTGATCCGCCGGAAATTGGGATGGAATTTGTCGCTCTGTACGAGCGGGCGCGCTTTTCGACGCGTGAGCTACACGAGGCTGAGTTCAGGACTTTGATGCATGTGTTTGCGGAGCTCCTGAGGGGGATGAAGGTTTTGGATCCCCAGATCTTGGATGAGGTGCGGGGTGGGAGTTCCCAGGCTGAGAGTGAGTCTCTTATCGGGCCCTCGGACGAGGAAGGCGAGACCGATACGGTGGATTCCTATGGAGATAGTGAAGCGATATCGCGGGGCCGGAGTAATAGTCTGCGGCCTTCAAATGCGTCCACTTGGGAGGGCGCCAGACAGGGTCGCTGGTCGCCTGTTTGGTCGAGACGCTCGGAGGCGCAGCGAACCCTGGCGCCTCCTCGGACGCCATCGATGCGGTCGCTTCGGCGAGTGCAATCGAATGTGTCTGGTAGCTCCGGAGGAAGCGTGATTCGCCTGGTCGAGACCCGGAGTCCGACGGATTTACCGTACGCTTATAATGTTGGCAGCAGCAGCCGCGTCGACGGTAGACCTCAAACATAGATAGATAAGAATTGGAGAAACCCATTCTGGATAATTATACGAATAAAGATGTGATTTCTCTCCTATATTCGCAATATGCCACTATTAGTTACATGGAAGTTCTCATTGGGTCTTATTAGGTCATATCCACCTGCCCTGTGTTCCCCAACGCCCAAAAAAGAACTGCCCCCTCAAAACAACCCCCCACTTTAGAAATCGGCAAAGAGTGCTCCTGCTGTGACGTAAGCCAATCGGAGGTCCGGCAGCAGCCGACAGCCGCATCACGTCGGCGTGGCTTTCCGTCCTTGGCAAGGCGGCGATTGATAAGATCTGGCGGTTCGCAAAAAGTCCGAATGAAAGAAAAGAAACATTTCCCTCCCTATTTCCTATTCACCCTTCCTCCTCCTCCTCCTTCTTCTTTTTCCTCACATTCCCGATCCATTCACTTACAATGCAATCCATCCTCCAACGAGGCCGCTCATTCTTCACCCCGACCCCCTCGGCCACCCCGCAGGATAGTCCCAAAGACAGCCCCAAACCCGAGGAGGATAATGATGCAGCCCCCTCGGCCGACACGCTTTTCCTAAAGACCGACCCCGCCGTGGACGGCGAGGAATGTCTGCACGACTGTGCGTCCTGCACGGTGAAATACCCTGCTAAATTCGATGTCGACCAGGAGGATAACATGTATGGGAATATCAATGGCTGGTCGACGCACGTGCTGGTTGCGACCGGGAAGTCGGATTGGGTGAGGGATGTTGCGGATGAAGAGGGTAGTGTCATGGAGGCTATTGAGAAGGGGGGGCTGGTGCCTAGTAATGGGGTATGAAGACATCATCACAGTTGCAGTTTGTTGAGGCTGCGCGATAAAAGTAAGAATTGTGAGGAAGGAAGCTAATCGGGTGGTTGTGTGTTGCTTTAGAAACTGAAATTATCCGCCTCCAATATGCCCGTCCCGGACGAGTATCATTATCATGATGCGGGCAAGCAGCCTACGACTGTGTTGCTTCTGCCCAGGTTTACCATTGTTGATCATGTTACGCCGCAGCTGGCGCCGGATTTGATCAAGTATTTTGTTAATCGGTCGCCGACGACTACTACCCCTCTAGGCGGTGCTGTATCCGAGTCTGCGGCCACTGGAAACAACAATGAGGATGAGCAACAGCAACAACAACCCTCAATCGAAGAACAACAGGAAGAAGAAAACATCGACATTCATACCCTTACCTCCCTCCGCTCCCGCCCCTCCCCTCACTCCGCCGTTATTCTGCTCTGTTCGCACCGCACCCGCGACGCCCGCTGCGGGCAGTCCGCGCCACTCCTCCGCAAGGAGTTCGAGCGCCATTTGCGCCATCTAGGCTTGTATCGGGATATGGATGATGAGAGGCCTGGTGGTGTGGGGATCTACTTTATCAATCATGTTGGTGGGCATAAGTATGCGGCGAATGTGATTATTTATCGGAGGAGGGACTTTGAGTGGTATAAGAAGACGGAGGAGGGAGCTGGAGAGACAGAGGAAGAGGGCGCGGCGCAGGGCATCTGGCTTGCGAGGGTGAGGCCGCAGGATTGTGAGAATATTGTGAGGTATACGGTGTTGCAGGGGAAGGTGGTTAAGCCGGGAGAGCAGTTGAGGGGTGGGTTTGATAGGGAGAGGGGGGTAACGAGTTGGTAGGATTCATTCTTTGTTGCTTGGGAGCTGGATGGTATACGTATATAAGATGATGATGATGACAGGGGTTATGTTTGTATAGCAATGAATTACATAGAATGGGTATGGGTATATAGGTATATTCAAGGAACCAATGAACATGCATGGGATCACAGCTGCTTACCTTACACTGAATTTGTCCCACCATTAACCCTCCCAATCTATCTATTCCCCAAAAGAACCCAAGACACTTACACAGACCACATCATAATCCCATCCCATCCACTCTCCCATTAAGCATAACCCTCCCCATCCCCATCCGACCCACGGAAGTACCCCATAATAGCTTTCAAAGCTTCCCCCAAACCCCAATGAAGTCAATAATAAGCTCTTTCCACACCCAAACAACCTAGATAAAGTCAACCAGATAAACCCCAAGCTACCTAATCTACTCGCAGTTACCTGTCAAGTAAACGAAAGTACTAAGTGTCATCTCGATTTACTTTACAGACATACCTAGGTTGATTGCGATCTTCTCCCCTCACCGACCAACCACATCCGTCCTCGCTAATGCTTCCCGCATCGGGCTAAGATTGTCCCAATACGAGCGGGAAAGAATCGCTATTGATCAGCAAGCAGCAAGTAGTTAGTTAGCCTCAGGCTATCTATCTATTACTTATCCACCTCGCTAAGACGAGGGTTGGTTTGGTTGGCAGCGGAGAATTAGTAACCTAGTTAGTTGGTTAGGACTGCAGTAGATTAGTTCGTTAGTAACTAACTTGGTTACGTAAGTATGTACTTGGTGTGAGTATCGGTATGGAAATACGGGAGTGGTGTGTATTGGTACGTGACGGTACTTACTATATTTCCTTTTCTGGATGGTATTGGTATACTTACATTTACTTCGGTTTTGATGAAGGTTGAAGTGAATTTGATTGAGTGATGGTTACACAGGGGAGAGTTTGTGCCACAGAAAACCAAGGAGACTATTGCCTGTAGATTGTAAATAGAGCTGCCTGATCGTTGATTATTATTGCTTTTGTTGGATGAAGAAGAAGATGATCATCTGTTTACATTCGTCGTTGGACGATACGATAGTATAGTTTGATAGGCACTGCAGCATCTATAGCAGCGCACAATGGGCCCATCAGGAAGCAAAAGATGGCATCTCCCACTCTTCTTCCTCTGGATTCTGTATACTTACCCCACCACCTCTACATATCCCAGCTCAATTGACCATACTAACCACCATCCAGCTTCCTCCACACTACAGGCCTATACCTCTTCACAAAGGCTTCCTCCTAACACGCCAAACCCTCGACTCGAGAAGCAATTGCTCCCACCCTCCCATTCTCATTACCAACACTAACACTACCTGCTGGACTACACCCACCTTCACCAAAGCCATCATCCTCCTCATCGACGCCCTCCGCTACGATTTCACCATCCCCATCACCACCTCCTCCAACGAAACATACCACAACGCCCTCACCATCCTCCACACCACAGCCCTCCACACCCCCCACAATGCCCTTCTCTACCCCTTCATCGCTGATCCTCCCACCACTACCCTCCAGCGTCTGAAAGCCCTCACGACCGGCACTCTGCCCACTTTCATCGAAGCGGGGTCCAACTTCGCCGGATCAGCAATCACAGAGGATAATCTGATATCTCAGCTTCATGACGCAGGGAAACGTCTCGTCGTGTTGGGCGATGACACATGGGTGAAACTATTCCCGGGACAATTTGATACAGGGCTATCACGCCCGTATAGCTCGTTCCTGGTGGAGGATTTACATACTGTTGATGATGGGGTATATGGGCATCTTCTACCTTTACTACGAAGTAGAGATACAAAGGGAAACGAGGAGTGGGACGTGATAATCGCCCATTTCCTAGGCGTCGATCACGTCGGGCATCGGTTTGGACCGGGGCATCCGGAAATGAGGGATAAACTGGTCCAAATGGATGGGATTATTAGGGAAGTGATAGGGGAAATTGATGACGAGACGCTGTTGGTTGTCATGGGAGATCACGGGATGGATGAGAATGGGAATCATGGGGGTGAGACGGCGGATGAGGTACGGGCTGCGCTGTGGATGTATACGACTAGGGAGGTTTGGGGGTTCGTTGATGGTGATGCTGCTGCTACTGGTGTCGTGGGGAGAGATACGCCGCAGGTGGATTTGGTGCCGACGTTGGCATTGCTGATGGGCGTGCCGGTGCCGTTTAATAACCTGGGTCGGCCGATTGAGGAGGTGTTTGCTGGGAGGGAGGGGAGGGATTGGGGACGTTTGGTGGAGGTTAATGCTTTGGTTGTGGCACAAATCCAGAGGTTCACGAGGGAATATGAGAGGTATGGAGGGGAGGAGGTGGTTGAGTGGGATAAATGGGATGAGGTTGATGTGGACTTTGGGGATGAGCTGGCGTTGAGAGAGTACTATCAGGTGTTGAGGAGATATCAAGAGAGGATGCTAGAGGGGTATAAGCGTATATGGGCTCAGTTTGATCCGCTGAGGATGATTGAGGGCTTGGTGGTTCTACTGCTGGGGGTTGTGAGTACGCTATGCTTTCAGGTGAGTGAAAGCTGGCCTGATCTAGAGCAGAGGGCTGGGATGGTAGCGGGAACCGTGACGGGGATTGTTGCCGTGGCTGGTCATGTTGTCTTGGCAGACACTGGTCGTGGTTCTGTCCTTGATGGTGTGATCCTGGGTGCTGCTCTGGGCAGTATTGTGTGGAATATGTGGCAGACTGATTTGAGTGTTGTGCAGTGCCTTCCGGGGGGAGTCTGGGGCTGGCAGTCTGTGATGTTCACCCTACTTCTCGGCATTGGATTTGCCTCGAACTCTTACACCATCTGGGAGGACCGTGTGGTGTTGCTCTTTCTGTCGACATTCGGGCTATGTACTCTTGGCACGTCAGACCGGATACATCAGGCAAACGGGATACGTGAAACGGCTTTTTCAGTTATTTTCACGCTGCTGAGCCGAGTCGCCTCTCTCAGCCGGGCTTGTCGTGAAGAGCAACTGCCAATCTGCAGAACGTCATTCTATCGTCTGGAGAGCAGCTCGATATGGCAGCTATCAAGCCCGGTCATTACCGCTGTAGCCGTGGTATACATTACTCGAATGGCTCTGCAAGACAACACGGCTAGAAACCTGTTTTGGTTCGGACTCGGCATACCAAGTGCACTGCTGCTCAACACCGTCTTCAATATCCTAGAAACAGCAAGTAACAACGGCTGGCTGGTGGACTTCCTTAGCGACGGCACCTCCAAAACTGTGCGCATGACTCTTGCACGAATGGTGCTGGCCATTGTCTTCATCGGGTTAGCAACTGCGTTTACAACCACTCCAAGACATAGGTCACTCGAACGGCCGCTCATCTTCACAACAGCAGTGGTCCTCGCAGGCATTCTCTCAAGCACCCCAGCAGGCGGATTGTCCTTGGCAATCCTTTACTACCAGCTCATCAGTCTACGGTATCTCGTCCCCAATAACAGCTCCATCAAACCCACCATCGCAGCGCTCCTCGGAACTTTACACTTTTTCAGCACCGGTCACAACGCCACCTTATCCAGCATCCAATGGAAGTCAGCCTACATCCCATTCCGGGATACGCAGTATCCCTGGTCACCATTGCTGGTGATCATCAATACATTTGCCGCGCCAATCGTTGCAGCATGCGCCGTGCCTCTTCTTCATTCGGGGGAAAAACAGAGCCAAGCACGCTTTCTGGCCATTCATAGCACTGTTTACACTGCCTGGGCTGCCTTTACAGCATTATGGGCGTGTATCCTCCGCCGTCATCTGATGCTCTTTGCGATATTCTGTCCGAGATTCCTGATGGCTGGTGGGCTATTGGTCATTGTTGATGTGCTTGCTTTGATCAATTCGGTATTACTGGCTACTAAGCCTGGGATCACACTCAGGGAGAAGACTCATATAAACAGCTCGATTTAGTTAAAGAGGGACAATAGCTTGCGTTGACGTCAACGGAACGAGCACAATATCAAATCAATCACTGTGTCCTTCGACTACCCGACAATCATTCTGGTGTGTATGGGGCAATCCACTAGCAGTAGTGAGCCCAGCAGGCCTAAATCTTGTTAGATACAGTGTGACTGAGACGATAAAGAAGATGGATTTACCCGGAAGCAACGGTCACCTCCGTGGTGACGGTTGCAGTTCTACACCTAGTTAGCTAACCACGTCTTATTAAGACCCAAGCCAAAAGAAGAGACATACATCCATGCACTGTCTATATCCTGGTCGACAACGCTGCGCATCAGCCAAGGCAGGGTCCTCAGACACTGCAGCGCCGGATTCATTGTCTGCCTCCGCAGCCGGGGCGGCGATGGCCAGGGCGGCGAAAAAGAGGGCAAGAGGGATAGTGAAACGCATTTTGTCACTTCTTTGATTTTGATCTCAATACTTGATAAAAGTAGTAGTGATGCTGATGTCGATACTCGAGGAAACAGGAGATCCAGGTGCTTTTATGCTTGAGGATCCGGCCTCGAGTTGTCTTTGTCCTTGATGGATACATTCCGACGTGGTACAGGGTCTACTCCTAGGGTTGATATGAAATGGCAGCTGAACATCTAGACTGTTGAGATGAGGCCAGTATATGGATAGGATTAGTGATGATGGGCTTGGTTGTGAGAGGAAAGTTGTAAGCTTACTTTTCGCTACTATTTTCTCTAGACGACTAACCCGCTAATGATATACGTCAAGAATAAGAGTTGATTGATACATAGACATACATATACTATAGAATCAATGCACAGCAAGTACAGGAGCAGTATATATACACTACTCTACCATTGAATCTACAAGAGATGCTCAGATACATAGGATCTACCCCAGACCGTTCAACGGCTTCAGCCTCGGCCTCGGGCCAACAGCCCCTTATCAATCACCCTAATCGGAGAATAAACAACACTCACACAAGGTAACACAGCCAGGTACTGAATACGACTTTCTCATGATCATGAGGAGCTTACCCCGTGGCGTGGGATATGCCTCGGCGTTTAGAGGGGGTTGTGGAACAGTAAGCTATCCATCTGATATTCGGATTGTGCCGTGCCGGTGATCCGATGGTCATGCCGTTGGGTATTTTATGCTGTTGCTTTAGGTATAAGATGGATAGGTATTCACGTAGATAATAGATCATGAATAGCTACAGGGGGGATGTGCAGCTGCTGATACTCGGATAGATACAATCCTTGAGTGATCAGACGAGATGATCATGAGACCTGCTCGACACATATATATTAACTCGAAACAACGCGTGTGTTGGATTGATTATGATTATGACATCTGACATCGACACCCTTGTAGTTGGCTACTTGGGTGATACCTCTGGATATACCTGCTCATAAGTATTCATACCCTACTACTATTACCTAGTAATATCTCCCCAATATCTGATAGGTCGACATACTCCCTCACACAACCACCTGAAACATATCACCTTCCCCACGAACAATAGCACACTCACGACCAAGTTATTCCCAAATATGAGCATACTCGAAAAGAAGTAAAGAAAAGATACAGCACACCCCCACACCCATGTCAACCAACACTAGTAGTTGGCCGTCTACCCCATGCATGCAAGGTACTTTTGTCCATTCCAGTGGAGTTCAACCCAACATATGACAGCGATTGCCTGGTGGCGTGGTCTCTTATAACTCTGTGTTATATGTCAAGCAACTATTTATGTAGATTGAGGGAGTATTGTATGGTAGCTACGTGTACAATCAGTATCCTTGTTGATTTTGCTACTGTGGGATTGGCTGGTTCGTGTATTAGGCAGATGGTGGTAGGGGTGTGGTCTCAATTTTGGTCTATCTATCTGTGGATACTATGGGGTGTCTGATACTTTGGATTTGGCTGTGGGGTACATACTAATGTGTGTACTTTTGATTCATGTATGAGGCATGAGGCTTTTATGGATATTAGTCTACTTTTTCTCTTCTACTAATATACTTACTTCCCTTCCACACAGTAGAAACAACATTATCTTGATACTTTAGATCAAGGCATAAGAATTTATCCACCACCACCACCACAACCCAAACACAGCCCATAAGCCATGGTGGTGGTGGAGGAGGAGGAGGTGGTGGCTTGATTGCTTATGCCAGCCGTGTGAGTGGTATGGTGTGCCACCACCACCACCAGTACCACAAGTCGAACGACCCGACAATTCCCCGACAAGCTACTACAGCTACTATCTTACTCTGTTTGATCAACACCATGATTGGTCGATAGACAGACATCTACCTGCGAGGCAAAAGCAATTCCATCACATCATCACATCTAATCCTTTCGCATTCTTTTTACTTTCTTGGGCTGTCATCATCATTATCATCATCACCGTAGATAACTTAGTAGTGTGGTGTAGTATCTATTTATATGTATGTTACCATACATACACCTTACAAATACATATGGCTGGTAATACACAAAGTATGTTATATTACACGTATGTATCAACCCAACTCATGTCATCTCATCTCATCTCATCTCAGCCATGTCATTTCAACTCTAAGCGAACCGCAGGAATTGAAGTGATATCACCAAGCCTACGTACCACGGACAGACATACCTATCTACTAGAGTATTACTACTATCTTTATCTATTTTTTCGCATGGTTAGTTTCCTTTTCAGCCAGTCTAGCTGATCAGAAATAGAAAAAGTAGGTAGGTATCACCATAAATACCACTATAACAGAGATAGGCGACGGATTGACGATCACAACAGACAGTAGTAAAGTCCCGTCGGCAAATCAGACTTATTTTGGGAAATGAGTAGAGTTGACACCTAAGTATTAGTATCTAACTCTAGGCTTTTTGGATTTCCGATTGTCGATTAAGTGCTAGTAGTTAGTAGCTTGGAATTGTGGATCCGGCAGTCGTAAGACAATATACTATATCTGATGTTAGTTCTACTTCAATCATCCTTGACAATTACAATTACTCTTAGGGGGGAGGAGGAGTGAGTAAGTAAGTACGTAGTACTGAGAAATGACAGTTGAATCTCATAGCTATTATTGGAATCTATAGATACCTCATATCATATCATATCCTGTCATGTACATCCACATCCACAACAAAGATGCCTGTCAACTAACTAGTTAATTAGATCAGACTACGGAGTAAATTGAAACACCACAAGGCAACCCCCCCGCAGCCTTTTTTCCATCCCATCCCCACAGCCCATCCATCTAGACTCTCTCGATTCTCCTTCTCGGTCTCGCTGGCTAGTACATCCCCAACACGAGATCCATCATCTCATCCAGATGACACACGCAGGATCAATCCAAATTTTCAAACTAAAGTAACAAATTAAAAAAGAGTCGGTCGATCACACTTCCCCCGTCTATCTATTCAGTATTCATTCAGACCGTCATTCATGTCAATCAACCCTCCTCCTCCTTCCTCTCCCTGTCACACGGAAATAATATCCATATTGACCATGATTCATCTATTCCCAGCTGCTGCAGCAATTCCAAGTTTTCTTCTCGAAACTACCTCACTAGTAAACGCAAAGTAAAGTAGACAAAACTGACCGCCTGGAATAAAATCAATCAATTAAATCAATCAGGTACAAACATCCGTCCATACAAGCGCATCGCATCGAAAAGGATTCAACTCAATCAAATCAAATCAATCTTAACTAGATAGATATCATCGTATACTGTCTTCGCCCCCAACTTCTCCACCCCACTCCTCTTGTCTCTGGCGCTTACTCCCGACCGTGTCGCGTCTCCATCCCATCCTATCCTAACTGAGTTATTGATACCAACCAGAAGAAAAAAAAAAAAAAAAAAAAAAAAAAAAAAAAAAAAAAAAAAAAAAAAAAAACTAACTAAATAATCTAGTTCCACCCGGCTAGATTACTAGTCCAGTCACACTACACAACAACACAACAGGAGAAAAATAAAAAAACAAGTTTTCTTTAATCCCCTTTTCCCTTCTCTTACCCACACCCTCCCTTTCCTTAACCAAATCTCGGATACATTCTCCTCAGGAATATGATTGATTGGGATCTCGGGTCGGAGAGCTCCGTCCGGTTCTGCCCGTTGTTAATCCTATCCTATCCTATCCTATCCTCCCGATCGGATCCGCTTTCCAATTGTTCTGTTCTGTCTATAATTCAGATACAACAACAACAATAGAAAAGAAATCGGGTTGACGCGTTATATGGCCAGCCAGCCGGCCAAGAAAAGAAAAAGCAAAGCGATGACAGCCTTATTGTGTGGTAAAAAATCAACACTTGGCGCATGCATGTATGTACAGTCGATCGAAGAGACCAACGCAGGTGGTCATCGAATCAATTTCCGTTCTTGCCTTTTCTCCTCTCATACACAATACATACCCTCTCACCCTAAGGCATCTAGCTTCGGGCTATGGTGTGTAAGTGTGTTGAGTGAGTGCGTGTTGTGGTGTCGGCCCACCTGCACTGCACCATCGAAAGTTCCCTGTCTAGCCGCACCCCCCTTCCTCCCTTCTCTCTTCGTTCATCCTCTTGCTCATCCTTCTCCTCTTCGTGTATTCCTTCCCACACCCCCAGACTAAACCATATGGGCGGCTGGATGGGTCGATCAGGCGCTACGACAGTCGGGACCTACTGCCCCGACCTAGAAGGCGAGAAGAGATAGACTTCAGCCCCATGACTGGCTTTCGCTGCTACAAGCGCCATCGAGATGTGGAGCCTCTTCCCTTCCTCTCTTTTTCCACCCCCAACCGTTTCAGCCGTCGATCCTTGGCTGACGTTGGTTGTAGGGGTCTTAAGGAAGCTCCTGACAGCCTAGCTTCGTAGAACAATGGCCCGACAACAATGGGCGCCCCCATGTTTCTTTTTTTCCCCTCCGAGCCGAGCCAAGCCAAGCACTACTTCCTCGGTCCATAGGATCCTTGTCAGCACGGCTTTGTGTTTCTGGTGGTAGGTGCTGATCCACGGCCTACGTCGCGCGCGCGCCGTCAGCGTCACTGGGAACAGAGTACTCCGAAGGGGGCAAGGCATTATTAAAAGCTTCGGAAATAAGTACATACACCCATGTTCTGCATACGTACCGGTCAGCTCCCAGCTGCGCGGCACGTCATCCAGATTCAAAGCGAACGTATAGGCTATGCTGGTATAGAAAAGCGAACTGCATCATTTGCCAAGGTATCAAGAATCAATATGACAAAAAAGAACCTCTTCGCAGCCTTTTGACAAGGGAGGGGCGCAAACTTGACCAAAAGAAAACATCATAGTCCGCAAATATCACTAAAAGGCGTTTGTGCCGTAGATGGAGAAAGGGAAAAAAAAGAGAATAGCAGCGGATGAGGCGTCTGACCAAATTAAGGGCTCGTAAATGACAGTCATGATAGGGCATCACTCAAAGCACAAACGCATTGTAACTCCTAGTCTGAAACACTCGCTGTCGAATCATGCAAAGGCACTCGTTGTCGGCTCATTAGCCAACCCCCAGGAAGCCCCAGTCCGTTCCCTCGGGCTGGTTCAGGATGCGGGCCGGCGGTTTGTAGTTACTCTGAGTGCTAGTCACCATCAGCGGTGGACCATCCGCTGTGGGTAGAGCATGGTATGGTTGCTGAAACTCCGGTGGCAGATACCCCTGCCGACCAGGATCGTACCGCTGCTGTTGCTGTTGCTGTTGCTGCACAAGCTGCATGTAGTGTTGCTGAGCCCGCTGCACATCAACCGGTGACGTGACAGGGATGTGCTGGGTCACGATCGGTGGTTGTTCTTGTATGGGCACCGGCGTTATGTGTAGGCTCTGGTGGGGGTAAAACTCATGAGTCGGCGTCGGGGTATGAGGGTAGTAGGGTTGCTGGGCTAAGAGATACTGTTCATTCGGCACGGGAACGGCGACTGGCCCTTGATACGAGTGTTCAGAGACCGCATCTTCGGAGGGCAGGCGAGTCATGGATCCCGGGGGGTGAGAGCGGTGTTGGTGCTTGGTCAAGGTCGTTTTGCGGCAGAAGCTTCACGTTGTTAGATAAGAGATTAGCACGAGAACCAGGCCAATGCTTACGCTCGTTCGCATGTTGGTTCTTGGCAGATATAGGGCCTCTTTCCAGTATGGATCCTTCGGTGACGAGCGAGACTCGATGACTGTGGTGGTCAGCATACATAAAGATTAGTGAGCTAGGATGCACATACGTCAGAAAAGGCCTTGTGGCATCCTCTGTGATCACAGACATGAGGCTTCTCTCCGGTATGCGTTCGCGAATGCACTGTCAATGCACTCCGTTGAATGAAGCTTTTATTGCAGTCCTTGACCGTGCAATGATACGGTCGCTCATTGGTGTGTATCCGATAGTGCCTGCACAGATCTGATTTGCGATTGAAGGACTACTGCCATTAGCACAGGAACTATAACACCCTCAAGCAAGCGATAGAGCAGCGGAAGGTGTAGATAACGCGGCATCGAGTCGATCCATACCTTGTTGCAATGCTCCCAGGTGCAGTTAAAATCTCGTCCACCACCAGGCGCCATGGTGAGGGAATGCAAGCGCAGAATGAAAAGCTATTGAAGAGGTGAGTCGCAAGTAGGATAGCGGGGAGTGGGCCGGCTAGCGATAGGAACACAGGGAGCGAACAACGAATCCCAGGAAGATAAAAGGAGATGCGAATAAATGAAAACAGAGCCGAAATAAAAAGAAGAAAAGTAAGTGACAGCGACAACAAATAAATTTGCAATAAAAGTATGAGCAGGCAAACACGACAAGAAATGGTACAGGCGACAGAGGGTGGGAAAAACGGTTGGAAGTATGGCTAGTAATAGTAGTAATAAAGCTACTATGGTGGAGTGAAAATAGGAGAGCGGGTGGGAGGGGAAAAGAAAGAAGAGGGAAGGAGTTCTGGACAAGCGGAGGGAGCAGGAATGTCACTGCAAATTAAGTCCGACGGCATGCAGCCTCAACAGTAATCATTGGAGGTCTGGACAGGCAGGTCGATTGGCAGCCAAGTCGCAGGACCGAATGATGGATCAAATGGGGAAACGCAGTGAAGGTGGACGGATGGAGGTGAGGCTGGCCCTGGAGGTCCAGCATAGCCGACAGGGAGGTATTCCAGACGTACCTAGCAATGGATCTAATAATAATAATAATCAAGCACGAACACGCAGAGGTGGAAAATAAATAAAAATCAAAAAATTGACGCGATGATGAGGGCGAAAGAGAAGCAGAAGAGAAAGTGCAAAGCACGATCCCAACGAGTTTCTCAGATGTAGTTCAGTAATACTGTTCGGACCGGGCGAGGTTGCAACGTTTCTGTGATACAGAGACAGACAGACACAGACAGCTGCTGCGGGTCTCAGGCAGTTCTCCTTCCAGGTACGCAGCCAGACCAAGTCAAGGGATGATGATGGCTGTTAGGAAGGAGAAAGGTAAAAGAAAAAAAAAAAAAGTCGAAGGTGAGGAAAAGACGAGAAAGTAAAGAACACCTGCTCCAGATGGGGCAGATGGAAAAGAAATACTCGACGAGCCAGATGAGGAGGATTTGCTGCACGAAGAGAGGAGGAAAGAAAGCTAGCTGACTGGCCGATGGGATGGAAGCTCTTGTTCGTTTTTATTTTCCTCGTTTTGCCTCTCCGGCTCTCGTGAGCAGGCCGTGTAATTTTTATAACGCCGCATCGTTCTGGCTCTACCTAGCAGGTACCTAGTTGCTACTGCGGGCTGCTAAGCTCCTTCACTACTAAGTACTGTCCAGCGGTAATCAAATAACAAATTGGAACCTCCTCTTGGTGTCCTCCAGCCGGTGGAGCTCCCCTCTGGCCAGTAACCCGGCCGGGCTAGCTTGAGACTTGGCCACTTTTTTTCTGTACCCCTACCCCTACCCCGGAAAGATCGGGTTATACTATGTTGAAGTATTTCCTTCGGACCACTTGTGGAATTTCTTTCACCAGACCAACCTGAACAAAAAAGAAACCAGGCGATTATAAAAACCAAAAAAGAAAAGAGAAAACTTCCACATCCAATGCAAAAGTGGAGGAGAATGACGAAGAAGAAGGAATAATCAAGTCAACGCCTTTTTTTTTTTTTGTATTATTTATTATTTTCTTTTTTGTTAAGTATTTCTTACCCCATCGTTACTGAACATGGGTTACCATGTTTACTTACTTTCTTGTCTACCCTGGAAGGTCAGGAGGGAAACACTCGGTATCAAACTAAGGTATCCAAGTACTAGGTACATACATACATACTTACTTTTACCTACTAACTTTCTTACGGGCACCAAGCAGTGGCACTTAATTTAGGAATCTCTTTTAGACTGACTGACAGGCCAGGGTTATCTGGGTCCCGCTGTCGATTCGATGTTCTGGAGGGAAGAGGAGGGGGGAATAGACAGTGTGGAAGATTGGAGCTAGCAACCCCAGGACAAAGTTACCCAAGACCCAAGGTTTCCCATCCTACTGAACCGTCTTCCGGTCAAGATGGCTTGGGGGAAGAGGGGAACACCGATCCCCACCCTGTCCGCTTGTGCCTTAGAACACTGAAAGGTTAGGATATAGACTCGGCCAATCATCGGTGACCGGGGGAGAGCCTGGCCTTGGAAGAAATCTGCTAGTCTAAACATGGTCTAGTTGCCTGCATCCTGGCTGCAAAACCTCGACGGACCGCTAGTATCGCTTACCGTATTTGGCTCGTATCGACCATCTTTCGCGGGTCAAAATTACTGACAGGTACCTTGACACGTACGTCCCTGGTACCTTCCTTTTAGGTACTTCCACTAGGTAAGGGTAGGAAGTGGTAGTAAGTGACCATCCATCTTTTCGCATTTCTCTCCCTTTCTTTTAAGTTACTCACTTAAGTCAATGATGATGCTGGAGGAGACAGTAGTCCGCCATATAACATTTTGGATAAAAACCACGACTGGAGACAATTGAACGGCGCTCCAAAGGAGTCAGAGCTGAGGCGGATCACAGCAGGGTCACGCCAATACAACAAGCAGTGTCTACGTATGAGATATCCTGTACGACCGTGAAAAGGGAGGTACATAGTAGGTATGTGTAAGATGGAAGGTCTGATTAGGTCGTGCGCTAACCGATGGAACTACTCCGTACCTACCCAAAATGATCATTACCTATTCCTACTCTCGTACTGACTCCAATTATGACTATTGCTATGTACATTGTTGTTACTTTATTTTTATTCTTGTTTTCGATTTTATTTCATTTTTAATTTCCATTGATTTATTGATCTATCTCGCCAAGGTGCTGGGAATAGATACTCCGTTCAATCTAGTACCAAGGTGGTAGGAGCCATTCTCTCCAAACAAATTGTTGCTGGAATTAAGTTCCTGACGGCCCCCTTCGTTTCCCCAAAATGATCACGGTTCGGCCGTTTACTAAAAGCATCAATGGAGGGGAGAAACGAGAAGGGAATAGAAGAAAAGAAAAAAGTATTGAAAGCCAACTGGGACAAAAAACAATGTCACACCAGCCGGCCGACCAGGCAGCACAGATCGGAAATTATCAGCAAGGGATACCAGCGATGCAACAACCGAAAGTGTGGCTTTTCCCTTCTGGGCCAGTAGGCATCATGCTGAAACTGGCCCAGAGCAGCAGCTATCCCCAGGGTCTGCTATCGGCCTCACTCCGAACAACAATCGTCCAACTCACCTTTCCTACTTAGGCAGTAGGTCCCTCTACAGTGGCCATGATACCTTCACCCGTTGCTATTGGACGTACTTCTGGCTATCTTTCTTGGGAAAAAACGAGGCCTACGCCCCCAACGCCACGGTATTCTCGGTGGCCCTGCGCTGCGGCTATTCTACCGATTCGATTGCTGGATGACAGCCAGCCGTAAACTCAAATGGAGCGCTTCATCAAGCCTCTATCAGCTGTTTTGAGTGATATTGGTTCCTTCGTCTACTCCACGTGGCGGCTTCAAGAATTCATCTGGATCGCGGTCTGTAATGCTCCATCAGTGATGGGTCCCCCGACAAGGGACCAGCGGGATTCACTTGCCGTTCCGTTCCCCCTCCTTCCGCCCGTCCACGGCGATAATTATTAATATGATACGATGGCAGTCATGAGCCCCGGAGCCAATTAAGCTCATGACGATCAGTTGATTTCTCTAAGGCTGGAGCCATGAGACTGGCGCCGATGCTGTCTGTTCGTCATCGACAGCGAACTATAGGGGCTGCCTACTTTCCTATTGATTGTGGTTGACTGAACAGGCTCGGGATACACTTCCTCAATATAATCTACTGGCGATACATGGATAGATCTTCCATTTACGTTATCCAGGCTCACGGACTGCCGTGAGGCTTTGAAACTGTAAGTCGACTAGCACCAGTGGATCTCGAATAGTGGCAGCGGGTCGAACCCATGGAACAGGCAGGCCACAACCATCGCCGCCCGCTTTTTCGTCAGCAAAGGCAGTTTAATACGCTTACTTAGACTTTGGCCATTCATGGTTTGGACCCTGGAAGCCCGAGACCCATCGCACTCGAAAGAGCGGCTAGATACGTACGACATACATGCGAAGATAGCGATTAACAGTCGATAGTGTCTATAGCACGCACTCGATAGATCATCGTCTTCACACGATAGAGTTTCGTCTAGAACTTCTTCCAGCAAATGGCGGGCTTTGTTCCGCCCGTCGACTCTTCAATTCCCGTCTGTCATCAGGGAGGGTTTTCGGGGTTTGCACGACCGGGATCTCCGACTTGCTATGGAGCTTATACCACACTAGGCTATTGAGCCACTCACTGTGAGTCAGGCACAATGATTTGGTTAACTAGAAGAACTATGGACACCGCCTATGGCCAGCCCAGTGGATGCCAAGGAGGGGCCGTTTCGACCGCGAATTGGCTACCAAGAATTGTACGAGGGCAAGTATTCGACTGGTAGGGTGTGCTTGCGACGATGCTCGTATTGCTTTTTTTTTTTCCTTTCTAGTTTCCCCCGTCCGGACCGGCACTTCTTGGTTCCAGATGACTCCCGTAGTGGCGCCATAGGCTTATACTCACTAAATTCGCACCAGTCAATGAGCTAACCAGTAGGATTGTGACCAAGTACTCAACGCGAGTCATCTGAGACTGGGGCAATCCACCAGCAATGACTTGGTCGTCAGCATACCGGGTAGGCAAGACAGCTAGGAGTACGTGTAAGCAGTCGAGTGTTATTCCCCGCCCCAACAGGAATTGCTGCCAACCGATCCGGTGCTGGCGAGGTGAGCCCAAGCCGAGCCATAGAGGGGGATCGCTCATCCCGTTATCACCCGCTTTTTTCACTTGTCTGATCTGATATGAAACTGGCTATGAGGTAGGCAGCGTGCCAACTAGCGACAAGATGGGGGGCTTTTTTTTGAGTACCCTGCTTGCTATCACGAGGCCAAGGAATTGAATAGATTACAGATGGGCTGGTAATCTATTTGCCCCTACATGTACCTGGTACATCCACGCAATGCAACAGACAGGAAGTCCTGGCTTACTGACGGTATCGCCGAATGAGCCGTCCAGGAGAGGAGCTAGTGGCGGCACCCCCATATTCCCGGTATACAGAAAGTATGGTTATCTACATTATAGTCTGGTGCCACCACAGATACATGACAGCTCCTCCAGGTCGACCTGCACCAAAAACCTTACTGGATAGACCGGTCAATGAAAGCCCAAAGCTGACAGCTGGTCGCATCACTGGCAATGCGGGAGTGACGCCAGGGCTTGCACCATGCTGTAAGTCGCCGATCCTTAGGACCCAAAGGCTGTAGACGGTGCTAATGGCGTGACTTGCATGTGGTCAAATGGGCGAAAAGATTGAAGTGTCTACTTTAGCACCCGGCTGGGGGGGGAAATTGACCAACGGCGGGGGAGGGGAGGGGGAGGAATGGACTGGAGGGAGGAATGAACGAAACAACAAATCAGCAAGGGACGGGCAATGGATTGACAAGACGAGGGGTAAACTTGATAAAGAAAGAAAGCAAAAGCGAGGCCGGAAGAGGCAAGCTTCGCATTGGTGATTGCAAGACCTTGGTTTGACATGGGAGATGGACACTGATTCTCCGCTTTTTGGGAAGATCTCCCCGGTCAACTGGCGTGGCAGCTAACGAACGGGAAAGGAGGGGAAAAACATCCGGGCTCGAGGGTGTGGAGGACTAAGGAAAGCATTCATGCCATACGGACTGGACTGGCATGCAATCAATCCGTCGATGATGATGTTGATGATGACGTCGACCAGCTTACAGCATCCTCCATCAACCTGAGACAACAGCTTCCGTTAGCACTGGGGAAAGGAATCCCAGGCACCTGGTCGGTGGTTCATCCGCCGCGGTAAACCCGTAGTCGCAGCCCAGCGGCATCATGTGTCTGAGCGGCTTCTCCTCGCTAGAAGAACTAAAATTGAACCCTTGTCCCCCGGTCGCGATTGACGTAATGTCCGTGGGAAAGACACATGGTTAGCCGAGCTCGACCGAGATTAGGTCGTGGGTTGCTTAGTCCCACTAGGGATTGGGGTATGTGATTCGTAATTCGTGATCCGTCAGCTGGATGAGAGAAGGGGGAGAGACAGACAGACAGAGAGAGAGAGAGAGAGAGAGAGAGACAAAGTGGGTGTGGGGGGAGGGGGAAAGTGTGGGCAGTGCTTTAGGAATTCATGCATGGCCACGCTACAACTAGTTGTCTAACTATACCAGACTAACAAAGATAGGCTGAGCGAGAGAAGTTTAGTTAGTAACAAGCGGAAGGAGAAAAGAACTCCGAAGTGATACACCAGGATGGTTACAGGTCCGGTGAGTTAGTTGATTGAATGATAGTATATCCGAATAAGGCTGGGCTGACAGAGAGAGTAACCGAAAAAGAAAAGCGAGTAGCAACTAGTAACTACACGTAATTTGAAAGGAAAAGAGGGAAGGGAAGAAAAATAATGACCGAGAGGAAAGTTATGTCCCTTCACTTCCTGGTAACCTCTAGTAATGACATCCCGGTCTAGTTTGATGCTGGCAAAGAGGGAACCGGACGGGTGTCAGATGGTCGGGAGGAGAAGGGGAAATGAAATCCTCCAGCCTTAACTCGCTATCTATCGGGAGCTGCTGGTTGCCTCGTCCAGTTTCTTCTACATACCCCGCATTGGGGGAGGATTGTCGCTCTGGAGCATCTTTAGCATCTTTAGCACCGTGTCTGTCACACGCAGCTTCATTCCTGCCTTCATTCAATTCCTCTGCCGTCATCATCACTATTATCAACGTCGTCCATCTTGGGTGAATCCGGAGTTAGTGTCACCCCGGTTCGTCGTCTACTAGTCTACAAGTCTACTAGTTAGTGACTGACACTTGCTGGGGATAGCAAATTGGTAAAGAATGGTATGTAACCTTCATCTACTACACTATATACTACTCTACTAGTATATTTAGCAAGGCAGGACTACTCTCGACTTAGCTCGCTCACTAGTCCTGTCTAATATCCCCTCTCCTCCACTCATTGCTCATTGCTGCCCATCCGCCTCAGGCCAAGGAAACAATCACCCATCGTCTTCCCGTCAGTGTCTCATATTACTCAAAGAAGGTGTGTCTCGACTTCGGACGTCTCTAGCCATATCTCCGTCACCGCTGCCTCGTTATCATTTGAGAAGAAGAGGGGCGACATGGATGACGCGCAGCAGCAGCCGTGGACAGTTGGGCGCTAATACCGGCCGGGTGGATGTCGGAAAGAAGTTCCAGCTCATCACATCCCAGAAGTTCGCTGGTGGACTGGCGGAGCTTCGATTTGTCCAACCCTTTCTTGTGTCGCGCCGGTGTTTTAGCGGTCCCATCCGTACTATACTCCGCTTCCCCATATGAGCGACCGACCACATTGGACTAAACCATTGCTCACTATGGAGTATCTGCTCAAAGCATCATGCGCAACGGAGCTATACGCGATGTCGCACCAGGGCATTGCATCCGGCCCGCTAAACTACTACTACTACGTACTAACCACTAACTACTAGGTAACTAGATTACTTAGCCACTAGACTACTCACCACTAACCTGTTCTTTCCCTGACGATGCTAGACATACATGCGTTCGGCACCTCGGACGATAGGCATCCAATTGCCCAGAAAAATCTCCGATGTGCATACATAACTCCCAATCCCAAGAAAGCAGCGCGCCTGGTCAACGCAAGCTCTGGCCACGCATGCCTTCTGCCAGTGGCCTGCTTGCTTAAACGGCTGCTCTCGGCCCGGCTTCATGGAGGGGGATTAATTTCAATCGCGACATTTACCAAGCGAATCGCAACCGTAGCTGCCACAGGCGCAGATGATGATTGCACGACCATGTTAGCCTTACGAGAAAGCCAAGGACCGGGCAGCGACTCGATCAGCCGGCTTTCAATAATGATGCTGGTTTACTCATGGCTCACCCTCCTTCGTTTCTGTTGTCTCTCTTCACCCACACACCCTCCCTCCTTCCCGTGGGCCACCGCCACTATACGGAAGCATCGCTAGTCTAACCTAACATCCATCCACCCCGGTCCTTCGTAAGCCTGAAATAACCCAATAAGTCGGTGAGTGCTCGTCACTGGGCCGCTTCATTCCCTCCATCCTGGAGGTGGGTTTTTTATTTATTCTTTTTTTCAAAGAATCCTCTTTCTTCCCCTCCCTCCAAGTTATCCCGTTAGCAGCGCGCGGGGTAAGCGTGGATTTTCTGGGCGCGTCTTTCTGCCCACCCCCCCCTGCAGGTCCCCGGCTTCGATACGGTCTGGGTTCTGGAATAGGCTATTGCAGAGGGCGCTGTGGATGGATGGAATCGACAGCCTGATGAGAAAGAAAAAAAGATATTCAGATTCTGATCAATCGGCGTTGCTACTGCATTGGTTCGCTTGCAGAGATCGCGCGTCGCCCATCAACATCAGCCCTGAATAACAGTCGTTTTTTTTTTCTAATTCCGGCATTGCCTCCTTTCCAGTTTGTCTATGCAGTCGCGAGTTTGATTGGTCAGGAGGGCCTGGTATATTCTACCGAGCTCAGTCGACGATCTGATTGAATCGTTTCCACCCCCAAACTTTAATGACAGGATGCAGCTGTTCGGGCGTGGCTGTGTCTCATCCTGGACAAAACACTCCATAATCCACACCATGACAGGCTGGGCAAAAGCCATGTGAGCTCGTCTACAGAGGTCTGGGTTCGATAGGTCGGCTGCTTGTTCTTGTTTGCTAAGCAAATCAAAATAACAACACGGAAGAAGGGGGGTTGGTGCTGACGGGCTGACCCCGATTTGGTGAAAGTGATCGGGTCCTTCCTTCGCGTCTTGACGCCTCGCCTGTCAGACTCGGAACTGGTTTAGCTGGTGGCGCTGTCACTGTCTCTCCAGACTCGCAGACTCGCAGACCCGCGCAGGTTGCCCTTTTCGAGTGGTCTGGATGGACGCCCCGCATCTTTTCTGGTCTCTGGAATAGTAGCTGCTTATATCAGACTGTTCATATAGCTCTAGCTTATGGCTCCATCTGACTACGGTAGTTATCTATTTATCTTATCACTCACCGCTAGCTAGCTGGCTGGCTGCTTACCAATGCTCAGATATCAGACAGACAGTCATCTAGATACCGTCATGAATCTCATCTACAGGAAAAAGTATCTTCGAGCCTCATCACCACCATCACCACCATTACCACCGCATCTCTCAGTATATTGAACTTCGATACATTCTCGACCCATTCCATGCATCAATACCATCTGCACAAATCACATCCCGACAAACCTTACCAACCAAATCCCGAGAACACATACATACATACGTGCATTCCAAATTACCAATTTACTTCTCCCTTCTCTTGTTCGCCATCCTAAGACTTAAGCTTTGACAGGCACCTGGAGGCGTCTAGCCTTCCAGCCAGCCATCCAGCCATTTATGCCTCAACTCAATCATTATGTATCAATATGTATCCCCATTTCCTCTTTATATGCATCTCTGCCTACGGAGTGGTTCCGACTGGCTTCTAGACCTTTATCAGGCAGCGAAGAGGCATCTAGGCTCAGCCAGCCATTAATCTATCCATCTATATAGTATCCCTGCCATTATACTCCGTACACAATCTCAGTACTTCTCTAAGTCGAGTACTACCTTGTAGGGCAATATGAGATTCTAAATTTAACAGTGACTTGTTGCCACTTTGTGTTCACGAATAACTAACTAGTAATTCTAACTTCCATGCTGCTGATGATCCATACTTTAGGTACTGCGTTAGTGACTGTGTATCTATGCACAGTGGCAAAATAATAGATGATGCATGAGTAAGACCAGCACATCGCACCACATCACATTCACATACACCGTTATCTAACGCACTCACTCACTCACTCACTCCTAATTATAATTTAAGGTTCTCGGCCATTCAAGTGGCGATGAAACGGATGAATGGATCAATGGATGGGTGTAAGAGCCGCATGGGTATTGATAAACTTATCACCTATCGTGTGTGGTCTGTATGCATGAACTTACTACTTAGGATGATGATGATATATCAGATGATAAAGATGCGAGTATACGAGGTAACAGGGGGCTTGGTTGGTGGATGACATGAGGGGGTTAGATTTAGGTTCAAGAGGAACAGGTAGTTGGAGGGGGTGGTGAGGCTCGTAGGATGTAAGCTGAATGTGATTTGATAAGTGTCTTTGGTGGTTAGTGCTACGATTTGGGTCATGAGGTGGGAATGGTGGGTTCAGTTTGGTTTGTAGATGTGTGGATGTATACTGGCGGTGAAAAGTAGATCTTGAAGGCGTCTGTAGTTGGTTTTACTGAGTGTTCTTCTCTGAGTATTTTTCAAATTAATATTGATGTTTTATAATTATTATGCAGGAGTGATGATATAAGCATTCCATTGTATACTAGATTGGGTGTCTGGTGAAGCTATTCAGACCATACATCATATGCCATATGCCATATAGTATGAGAAGGAGGATAGTGTTAACAAAATCCTCCCACCACTAACTAACCTCCTCGACTATACTCTCACACACCATATTAAGTATTATCCTATCTACTACACATCTAAGCACAATCAACATGATGCTCTCCCCACAGCAATATACCTGAATAGTACGGTCACCTGACCCCATCCATGGATCTCATATCAGCCCCTTATGTAATCACCCCTTATCGGAGATTTATACAATCCCCAATTAATCCCCAGCTGTCCAGCACCAGCTTCACCTCCAATCCGCAGCAATTCCCCTCCAACTCACCAAGAGTAGGCTCTCAAAATGGCCGAACTCGCACAAGATGATCTACAGAATCAATTCTACGTACTAGTAACCGGCGCAAACAGGTACCCATCCCTCAATTGCACCTATCCCCATCCCCATCCCTCCATACCACCTCACCACCACGCCCCCCTCGCAGCACACCAAACAATCTAACAAATACACCAGCGGCCTCGGCCTCGCCATCTGCGCCCGTCTAATAACGGACTTCCTCACCACGCACCCATCAACCCACCACCTAACCATAATCTTCACGACCCGGAGCCCCAAAAAAGCCTCCTCGACCCTCCACCACCTCCAAACCCTCCTCCCACCTATATCCTCCCCCACTCAATCCTCCAGAATAACCCTCCACCCCGAAACCGTCGACCTCTCCTCCCTCCCCTCCGTCCGCGCCCTCTCCCAGCGACTCACAACCACCATCCCTAAACTCGACTCCATCGTCCTCAACGCCGGCATCGGCGGCTGGACAGGGATCGACTGGCCGCGCGCAATCTGGGGAACCCTCACAGACCTCGTACATAGTGTATCGTGGTTCGCGCACAAGATAGCCCCCGTGGGGATGATCACCCCTCCTCAAACTACACAGCCTTCGGAGCCGCGGCTGGGAAGCGTCTTCACGGCGAACGTATTCGGACACTACATGCTCTCGCATAACGTCATGGGCCTACTGCGGAAATCCACCCAGCCGGGACGAGTAATCTGGGTATCGAGTATCGAGGCCACCGTGAACCATTTCAATGTCGATGATATCCAGGGACTGAGGACGAAGGTGCCTTATGAGAGTTCGAAGACACTTACGGATATTCTCGCGCTCACGGCCGAGTCGCCTTCCACTCAAAAATGGATAGAGGGGTTTTATGCCCCCCCTGATAGTAATGGGGAGAAGGGTGAAGGGGATGGTGAAGGTACACGCCCACGCATGTACCTCTCGCACCCTGGTGTCTGCGGAACTGGGATCCTGCCGCTGGCGCTCCCGCTGTTCTGGGCGATGATCGCGTCGTTTTATATTGCGCGGTTGCTGGGATCGCCGTGGCATACGCTGTCGACGTATGCGGGGGCGTGTGCGCCGACGTGGTTGGCTGTGAGTCGGCAGGATGAGCTGGACGCTGCGGAGGAGGTGTATCGGGCTCATGGTGGGGGGAAGGTTAAATGGGGGTCGTCGTGTGATCGGTTGGGGAGGGATAAGGCTGTTTCGACAGAGGTGGATGGGTGGGGACATGGGGGCGTGGTTGGGGAGGCGGTGGTGATGGAGGATCGGTGTCGGAGGAGGAAGCGCGGGGCGAAGGATTTGACGGCGGAGGAGAAGGTCGAGTTTGAGGAGTTAGGAAGGAAGTGTTGGCAGGGGATGGAGGAGTTGAGGGTGCAGTGGGAGGAGATCTTGGAGAGGGAAGAAAGGGAGGGCGGTGCTGCTTAGGCAGGGTAGGATTGGGTGGTGCATGGTTTCGGGCATATTGCATCTGTATACTGTATACTATATATTGCATAATAGAGAGATAAGATAAAGAGTTAATTGATGATTGATTTTTTTTCTGATCCTGCCTCCCGTATTTACATTCCTTTAACCATGTCCACATACGTCATTAAAATCAGATAGAGTATTAGTCCATGTGCTCACCATCCCCCGGGGAAACAAGGTAGCAGAAAGAAAAAAAGCCGGTAAATAAAAGAAGCAACAGCACTGGTAACACGCAGTACGTCGGAGAAAGATGCGGGAGAGCAAGGTAAGAGATCAGAGACCTCCGGATTGATTATAAGGGATGTAAGGATGACCCGAATCAGACACGCTTCTACCATCAAGGCCTCTAGCATGCGGACACGGACGAGCACAAGACGAAAAGTAAGAATGGACGGGTGCGAGATGGGAGATGGGTTCAGAGGCGTAGACCGCAATGTATCCAAGCAGCGTCCTGTGTTGTCTAGAACCCCAGCTGGGTTCTACACTGCTCGAAAGAAAGACACGATCAACTCCGGTTTTTATGCATCTGGTGACTTCAGGTGTAGGTGGTGTATATCGAGGGTGAAAGGGCATGTCGACGTGACGAAAGGATTACATGATGATAGCAGGAACTAGAGTCAAGATTAGCAATGAAGGCGATATTCATGTAGACAATTCACTCACCATCAACGTTCTGCTTGATGCTCTTGTGGGGCAAGATGGAACCACCGTTAACATAGACTTCGTCGGCAATGGTAACATCATCACCGAGCACCGTAACGTTCTCCAGGCGAGCCCAGCGGCCCACCGAGCTGTTCCATCCAACAATGGTCGACTTGACCCACGCGTGGTCCTTGACCTTGCTGTTCTCCATCAGGACGCAGCGCTGCAGACGCACGCCGTCACCAACCACCACATTGGGTCCAATCACAACATTAGGACCGATGCGGCAGTTCTTGCCAATCTTAGCGGAGGGGTCGACCATAACATTGCCGCCATACACATAAGGCTCGCTGTTGGGGGCGAGCAGCTTCGAGTTGCGCTTGGCAAGAGAGGTGAGGTAGAGGCAGGTACCGCTCAAGAAATCCTTGGGCTGACCAACGTCCATCCAGAAGCCCTCCAGGTCGAAGGAGTGCAGCTGGCCGTCCTTGACGATAGCGGGGAAGGTCTCCTGCTCGATGGAGGTGGGGCGCAGCTCGATACGGTTCAGCACGCTGGGGTTCAGGATGTAGATACCGGCGTTGATACGGTTGCCGACGAACTCAACAGGCTTCTCGACGAAGCGGTCGATGCGCGAGGGGTGGTTGGGCTTGTGGACAACGACACCGTACTTGGAGGGCTCGTCGACCTTGGTGACCACAATGGTACCCTCGTTGCCGTGGTTCTTGTGGAACTCGGCCAGCTCCTTGAAGGGATAGTCACAGATAATATCGGAGTTCAGGACGAAAAACGGGCTGTCGTCCTTGCCCAGAATCTTCTCCGCCAACTTCAGGGGACCAGCCGTGCCGAGGGGTTCGGATTCCACAGAGAATTCGATTCTGACATTGTAGATTTCTTCGTACTAGGGGCGGCTGTGAGCATAGGCGGACGGCAATCCGTGCAGCTAGGGCAATTGTACCTTCTTCAGGGTCGACACCATAACATCAGGGCGGTAGTTGACGGCCAGGACGATATCTGTGACACCCGCAGCAGCCAAGCTCTCAACCTGGTGCAGGATCATGGGCCGGTTGGCGAATTCGACCAAAGGCTTAGGGAGAGTCAAGGTCTAAGCAGCATTGAGAACGGTTAGCTTGTGTGCGTTTTCCCACGGTCCATCCATGAATCGACTGGTATGTTCGACGTCACGATCGTCGGCGGGGGGCGATCAACTCACCAGAGGACGCAGACGGGTACCGAAACCGCCAACGAGAATGAGGGCTAGATAGTTAAGGGTCAGCGAGTCCGGAGTAACAATTCGATAGACTCATACATACCCTTCATGGTTGCTGTAGGGGGGAATTAATTGTAGGGAAGAGTAGCGATCGGGAGGGAGAGGCGTCGCTCCAAACGAATGACCGGAGCAAAAGACGAGATGGACAGGTGGAACAAAAGCCCGCCGACGGAAAGAGGGGGGAGGGGGGGATAAAGGAAAGGTGGAGAGAGTGTATGAAAGATGAGGGAGCTGTTGTTCCAACGATCCGAAAAAGGGGACGTTGGAGAGATTAGATTGATCGATTGATTGATTGAAGCGGATGGTCACAGACGGGGAAGAGAAAGGAGAGGAGAAAAAGAACGGTCGGGATATAATATAAGAACGAGGAGGAGGAGAAGAGAGAGAGAGAGAAAGAGGAGACCACCTGGCGTTGCGATTCGGGGAGAGCGGGCCGTAATGGCTGTGTATGTACGGGCCGGTAAGTTACTATGGATGGGCAAGTCAAAAAAAAGAGGTCACTGGCAAGACCCCTTAAACCGGCCAGTTGTGTCGCAGAGTTACAGGAGGTACAGCCTTGTGACTTTGGAAGATGGCACTCGCCAGGAACACCGGGTTCAACCAGTGCACGTTTGCGGCCGCGCCACTCGCCCAGCAGGCTCTGCCGCTAAGGGTATAGTTGGTATAGTCGGGTATCGTACGGCCTAGAACCAGCTAATCACTGCGGCGGGTTCAGGTGCCCCCAGTGGGGCGGCAGTGCCCCCTGAATTAACAGCTCCATAAATTGTGTACTCTTCATCTAAATTACATTATTAACTGATTCTTATTGACTTTTGGAGAAATTATGATCAGTTATGAGATTGGTTATTATGCCATTCTTACTTTGGGTTACGAAATCTCGCATATATCACAATCATGATGATGAAGATGATGAGGAGGAGGAGGAGAAGTAGACTTACATTACAGCTGATGCACGATTGACGCAGTACGTGCATATGCCTCCCCCCCCCAAATTGATCGTTGGTGGGAAATGGCAAGAAAAGAAGGAATAGCAGAAATACTAGTAACCCATTCGGAAACTACTATGTACTTACTCCCCCAGTCGCCATCATAATATCCAATGAAAGGATGGCCTCATACTTGGTACTTGGCCACCGATGGCGTTTAAACTATCGGGTTGCATTCCCTCTTCAATTTAGCACAACGTAGTACCTACCTTAGTGGGTTACCCAGAATGGATGCAGGAGGAATAAGCATCAATTCCATCCGTGTCTCCTGATCACCCTGTTTTCTTTGTTGCCGCCATTTCCTAACGTCCCCCAGTGTGGTGGTCACGGGTTCATAAGGATGGTGGCAGGTTACATGAGCGCCTTAGAACTGCAGGCTAAACAAGGAAATTAATGAATCGAGAAATTAAGGATATTAGGGAAGCAAACAGAGTTCCCAGCCAGTATATAGAGACAATAGGCAGCAGACCTTACTTTCAGGCCATTTTCTATATATAAATCACGCTTTGCCTGCTCACTCCTGCGTGTCTGGGGGCAGTGAATGGCCCTTCCCAGCCAAGCCACGTGTAAAAGGCCCCCGGCCCCCTTCACCGCCTACCGGATTTAATACAAATCTCCTGATCCACTCGCGCACCTTGCTCACCTTCATCAGCGGTAGTAGATCTTCCTCACGCTTGGCTGCAGGGTCCTGATGAATATCCCGGAGTTGCTTCGCACTGTAGAGCCCTCCTGCTTCGGTTACGTCGACCCGCTGGCGGTGCAGCAGGTTAACCTTCGTGACCCCTTTCCTCAAACTCTGCCCGTATACCCGTTCCCGGAAGGAGCTCAGTCCTACCATCCGCATCAGAACAATGTCCCGTGGACGCAGCGTTGCCAACGACACTCCCAGCGCATCTCCTTCGTCGTCACCTTCCCCAGCCATGACCGCATGATTCACGGGAGGAAGCCAGAACGTAACCCCAAACCCACTTCTTGTATCATCCCCAACCACCACCTCAACCAGATCCAATTCTTGCTTCCATTGCCGCGTTACCACCCGCCTGGGAGGGTGGATGGCGATAATCGCCACAATCAGATTCACCGTCATCGTCTGTGGCACGATCGAATTCAGATATGTCGCAGTGGGGATATCCCGGAGATCGGTGAGGGGCCCCTGGATTGGTAACCCTGGTGTTGGCCCGTCCCTCTCGCTGCTTGTCGCAAAAGAGGTCCCAGCCGATAAACTGCTACTTCGCATGGTATCTCCAGAGTGAAAGCCCGGGGTCGAGATCTCCGAGGTTTCATGAACGGTAAAGGAATGGTTGTAGAACTGCGATAGCACTGAATCGTCCGGCTTTGTCCGTGATATATCTTCAGAGACTGCAATGTCACGTATAGCGAGGAAGCGAGCATCTCGACTTGGTTCCCATCTGTAGATTTCTGGGAGAAGCCCTGGACTGCGTAGATCCCGCAATAGTCTCCATTTCACGGGCTGAGTATCGGGGAAAGGCCAATGGCCTTCATCTTGCGTATCCAGACTATGAAATGGAGATATCGGTGCGTCCAGCAGCTCCTCTTCATTCCACTGAAGATTCCGCGACGTGGGCGCACCCATGAGGAAGATGACCCTTTTGGACATCATCAATGTCGTATAGCGGGGTTCATGCCACAGGGCATATTAGTTGGAAAACCGTTTGCTGCTCACTCCAGAAACCAATGTCGAAGCCGTTGCGGAGATCCGTCTAGCTCGGGGAGATCAAAGATAGAGATTGATCCAGAGACGCCAAGAGAGGAAGGTGCATCAAAGTATCTAGTCTGCAGATGCGTTGTGAACGCGCCTACAGTGCGTGTCCAGTTATATAGTTTGTGACAAAGAAGCGACGCCTTTGAGATTGACTCTATGATGATGTTCTAGTCATCGGTATCCGATCTGAACCACGGGTTGTAGACAGGCAACGACTCATGTTGTATGGTACTGCGTATACGATCCAGAAA